AGCTGATGGAGAAGATTGTGCAAAGAAAGCTAGTGGAGCATCTGGAGCGAAAGAACTTTGTAACACAGCATCAACATGGGTTCAGGGATGGTAGGTCCTGCCTCACAGGGTTACTTGAATTCTACGACCAGGCAACAAAAATCAGGCAAGAAAGAGAAGGGTGGGCAGACTGCATATTTTTGGATTGCCAGAAAGCCTTTGATACAGTACCACACAAGAGGCTAGTGAAAAAGCAGGAGATGCAGGCTGGAGTGAAAGGGAAGGTACTCCATTGGATAAAGGAGTACCTAAGCAACAGGAGACAACGAGTCAGTGTGAGGGGTGAGGTCTCAGATTGGCGAGACGTTACGAGTGGAGTACCGCAGGGGTCAGTCCTTGGACCTATACTGTTTCTGATATATGTAAATGATCTCCCAGAGGGTATAGAATCGTTTCTCTCAATGTTTGCTGATGATGCAAAAATTATGAGGAGGATTGAAACAGAGGATGATAGTAGGAGGCTACAAGATGACCTGGACAGATTGAATGAATGGTCTAACAAATGGCTGCTAAAGTTCAACCCGAGTAAATGCAAAGTAATGAAACTAGTCGGTGGAAACAGGAGGCCAGACACATGATTCAGAATAGGAGATGAAGTATTTAATGAAACAGAGAGAAAGATCTAGGAGTTGATATCACACCAAACCTGTCTCCTGAAGCCCACATAAAAAGAATAACGTCTGCGGCATATGCGAGGCTGGCTAACATCAGAACAGCCTTCAGGAACCTGTGTAAGGAATCATTCAGAACATTGTATACCACATATGTAAGACCAATCCTGGAGTATGCGGCCCCAGCATGGAGCCCGTACCTTGTCAAGCACAAGACGAAGCTGGAAAAAGTTCAAAGATATGCCACTAGACTAGTCCCAGAACTAAGAGGCATGAGTTACGAGGAAAGGCTGCGGGAAATGCACCTTACGACACTGGAAGACAGAAGAGTAAGGGGAGACATGATCACTACCTACAAAATCCTCAGGGGAATCGACCGGGTAAACAAGGATAAACTATTCAACACTGGTGGGACGCGAACAAGGGGGACACAGGTGGAAACTGAGTACCCACATGAGCCACAGAGACGTTAGAAGGAACTTTTTCAGTGTCAGAGTAGTTAACAAATGGAATGCATTAGGCAGTGATGTGGTGGAGGCTGACTCCATACACAGTTTCAAGTGTAGATATGATAGAGCCCAGTAGGCTCAGGAACCTGTACACCAGTTGATTGACGGTTGAGAGGCGGGACCAAATAGCCAGAGCTCAACCCCCGCAAGCACAAATAGGTGAGTACACACACACACTCACACATAACGCCATTTAGTTTAATACAAATATTATAATTACTAGTACATCATTATATATTATTATCATTATTTAAATTGTCGAGTCCGTTATCAGTGGTCACAGAGCACCAAACTGTGTTACCAGTAATCACTCACAGACCAAAGTTTGTGTAATCGTTTTCCAGCTACAACGTCTATGTGTGACCTTGTTACACCTCTCACTAATTGTCTAATTGTCCCTAACGACCCCCGACCCCCCCCCCCCCTGCAGGAGCGAGTGTCGACGCTGCACGAGGTGGTGCTGACGGTCGATCATCGCGCCTCTGGCATCCTCCGATGTGAACTTCTGGCAACCACCTTCGAGCAGGACACCATGGAGGCGGCCATGACAGTTATAGGTGGGTTGTGGGTGTAGTGGGTGTGGTGGGTGGGTGGTGGGTGTGTTGAGTGGGTGGTGGGTGTAGTGGGTGGGTGGTGGGTGTGTTGAGTGGGTGGTGGGTGTGGTGGGTGGGTGGGTGGTGGGTGTGTTCAGTGGGTGGTGGGACTCATCAGTGGGTGGTGGGACTCATCAGTGGGTGGTGTGTAGTTTGTAATACAATTGACCACGTTGCCAGTTACCTCATGTTGGATTATCAGTATTTATTTTAATCTCTCACGTGGAACTCTGCCATATGCTTTCTGGAAGTGCAGGAAGACCACAGCTTGCTTGTTCTTCCCTCTGCTGTTCTATCTCTGTTGTCATAACACTTCTGTAGGTTTGTTAAAGCAGGATTTACTCCCTGACAACATGTTAATGGTTGTATAACAGTCTTGTGCCTTCTGTACGATGTCCTCCTGACCATCCTCTCTGGTAGTGTGCAGAGCGCGCATGTGGCACTGGTCGCTAGTTTAAGGGACCTTCCCAGTTGGCTGAGAGCAACAGTCATGATGCACATTTATTAAACACTTTACAAGCATGAAAACTTGCTAAACAACTGTTGTTATTGTTATAAACAGCCTCCTGGTGCTTCGGAGCTCATTAACTGTTTAATAATTGTAAACAAAGCCGCCAAAGATTGAGAAAAGATGTACAGGTTCGTATAAGTGCTTGCGTAACTGCTTCGTGAATCGAGGTCCTGGTGTTTGGGTCTCATACTCTTCCTCTAGCTACACCTTGTGGTAGTTCTTAGTCAAATGTGACGTTCTCCACGGAGTGTATCACACATCTTGCCATTGTCTATATGGCCTCCGCTTCTTATATTTAATCTTCAAACTTAGTCTTTCACCAATGTCTTCCTCCTAAGGAAGCCGGTCGGCCGAGCGGACAGCACGCTGGACTTGTGATCCTGTGGTCCCGGGGTCGATCCCGGGTGCCGGCGAGAAACAATGGGCAACGTTTCTTTCACCCTATCCGTGAACAGGATATACACAGATATGAACAGGATATAACTGTTACCTAGCAGTAAAATAGGTACCTGGGTGTTAGTCAGCTGTCACGGGCTGCTTCCTGGGGGTGGAGGCCTGGTCGAGGACCGGGCCGCGGGGACACTAAAAAAAACAAAAAAAGTCCCGAAATCATCTCAAGATAACCTCCTTATACGGGTGACCGGCCGGCTTGCTGCTTCTTCAGTCCTCAGGGATCAAACCCGTGCTGGCCGCTGCCTTGTCTTGAACCCCTTAATAAATGGGCTTAAAAGTAACAAATATAAATATTAAAACAAATTATTTGCCTGAATTTACTTGAGGGTCACTAACACACTATTGGCCTCGATGAGGACAGGAATCCGGCGGCTTGTCAAGTAATTATCAAAAGAAGGCACCAAACCGGAAAGGCTATGTAGCACCATCAAAGACGCAAAATAATCAGAGGGCGCTAAATATCACCAAGGATGCCAATACGAGAACAAAAACGCATAAGGTGAACGATATTAAAAGTATCCGAGTCACCAAGAATTCTATCGAGGGACAAGCGACCGCGAGGGACGGTCGGAAAGCAAGACACACGCTCGTCCTGGAAGTCAGGACACTCAAGAAGGACATGCATGACCGTATGAGGGACAATGCAATTAGGACAATAAGGAGCAGGGCGGCGCTCCATCAAGTGACCGTGGGTTAAGCGAGTATGGCCAATACGCAACCTTGCCAGAGCCGATTCCCACCGCCGGTTACAGTGTTAGGAGGACGGCCACAGGCACACACTACTCTCAAGAGTACGCAGTTTGTTGCCAGTAACAGACGACCAACAATCCTGCCAACGGACAAGGATGGAGGAATGAATAACTTTTACTTATACGTCCCACAATCGCCACCAGAAGAACCGTCAGTCCGTCGAGATCGGGTTCAGCGACGAATGCGAGGACTGACAATAAAGCGTGCCCTCTCGCTGCCAACGCCGGGTACCACAGCACTACGGGCGAGTGTGTGGGCGGCTCCAAACTCCCGGGCGTCAAAACACATGATGATGTCTGACAGAATAATCAAGAATGGCAAAAAATCGGCGGGAAATGACAATTAGAAAGGAGAAGAGGGGGCAGGAAAAACTAAATATAAGGAAGAGGAAATAGCTTCCAGCACTTATTACGGGCTCACCATAACCCGTGCTACTTGGAATTTTTTGTTCTGAGTAGCTGAATCTAAAGCAATAACAAGAGCTTCCAGCACATTACTGAAGACGGCAGCAGGAGTATAAGGCTCCAAAAGAACAGAGGATTGTCCCGTGGAGCATCACACCCCGGCAGCCGCCCACCAGGCCCCCTCACGCCCACAATGGGCCAGAAGGGCAGGGGGCCCGTGGGCGGTAGTGGACCCCATACCCATGTGGGCGGTAGTGGACCCCATACCCATCCTGTGGGCGGTAGTGGACCCCATACCCATCCTGTGGGTGGTAATGGACCCCATACCCATTTTGTGGGCGGTAGTGGACCCCATACCCATGTGGGCGGTAGTGGACCCCATACCCATCCTGTGGGTGGTAATGGACCCCATACCCATCCTGTGGGCGGTAGTGGACCCCATATCCATCCTGTGGGCGGTAATGGACCCCATACCCATTTTGTGGGCGGTATATATATGTCGTACCTAGTAGCCAGAACGCACTTCTCAGCCTACAATGCAAGGCTCGATTTGCCTAATAAGCCAAGTTTTCCTGAATTAATTGTTTTTCGACTACCTAACCTACCTAACCTAACCTAACCTAAGTTTTTCGGCTACCTAACCTAACCTAACCTATAGAGATAGGTTAGGTTAGGTTAGGTAGGGTTGGTTAGGTTCGGTCATATATCTACGTTAATTTTAACTCTAATAAAAAAAAATTTACCTCATACATAATGAAAAGGGTAGCTTTATCATTTCATAAGAAAAAAATTAGAGAAAATTTATTAATTCAGGAAAACTTGGCTTATTAGGCAAATCGGGCCTTGCATAGTAGGCTGAGAAGCGCGTTCTGGCTACTAGGTACGACATATATATATATATCAAATGTATATATTTATATATTTATATATATATATATATATATATATATATATATATATATATATATATATGTGTGTATATATATATATACACACGTAGCACAGGCTACTTACTTACATCAAAATGGAGAGGTTGGTGGAGACCTTTGACAAGCCGCCGGTTTCCTGTCCCTCTGGAGGCCACTATAAAGGGATCAAAATAATACCAATAATCAGGTTAAGATAAGCACAAAAATTGTGATAATCTCCATCAGTGAGAAATTGGCTAATAACGTAATCCTTTTGACTGCTCCTTCAGCCTAATGGTCTGCGTCCTCGACTCATAATCCAGGCAGCAGGGTTCAGTCCTCTGGGCGGCACAGGGACGGTTGTGCACCTTTTCACCTGATGCTTCTGTTCACCTAGCGGTAAATCGGTTGTACTGGAGTTAGGCAATTGTTGTGGGGTGGCATCCTGAAGGGGGGGGGCCTGCAGACAAAGTGCAGGCTTCCTGTCCCCGACAATGGGGTATTAATGTTGATACCTGGTTGATGGGGTTCTGGGAGTTGTTCTACTCCCCAAGCCCGGCCCGAGGCCAGGCTTGACTTGTGAGAGTTTGGTCCACCAGGCTGTTGCTTGGAGCGGCCCGCAGGCCCACATACCCACCACAGCCCGGTTGGTCCGGCACTCCTTGGAGGAAACAATCTAGTTTTCTCTTGAAGATGTCCACGGTTGTTCCGGCAATACTTCTTATGCTCGCTGGGAGGACGTTGAACAACCGTGGACCTCTGATGTTTATACAGTGTTCTCTGATTGTGCCTATGGCACCTCTGCTCTTCACTGGTTCTATTCTGCATTTTCTTCCACATCGTTCACTCCAGTACGTTGTTATTTTACTGTGTAGATTTGGTACTTGGCCCTCCAGTATTTTCCACGTGTATAATATTTTATATATCTCTCGTCTCCTTTCTAGAGAGTACATTTGGAGAGCTTTGAGACGATCCCAATAATTTACGTGCTTTATCTCGTCTATGCGTGCCGTATATGTTCTCTGTATTCCCTCTATTTCAGCAATCTCTCCTGCTCTGAAGAAGGAAGTGAGTACTGAGCAGTACTCAAGACGGGACAACACAAGTGTCTTGAAGAGTACAACCATTGTGATGGGATCCCTGGATTTGAAAGTTCTCGTAATACATCCTATCATTTTTCTGGCTGTCGCAATATTTGCTTGGTTATGCTCCTTAAACGTTAGGTCGTCAGACATCATTATTCCCAAATCCTTTACATGCTGTTTTCCTACTATGGGCACATTTGATTGTATTTTGTACCCTGTATTATGTTTAAGGTCCTCATTTTTACCGTACCTGAGTACCTGGAATTTATCACTGTTAAACATCATGTTATTTTCTGATGCCCAGTCGAAAACTTTATTAATATCAGCTTGAAGTTTTTCCATGTCTTCAGCCGAGGTAATTCTCATACTGATTTTTGTGTCATCTGCAAAGGATGATACGAAGCTGTGACTTGTATTTTTTGTCTATATCTGATATGAGAATAAGGAACAGCAGCGGTGCAAGGACTGTACCCTTGTTACACCACAGTTGTAAGCGTGACGGGAAGCAGAGGAAGCCGCACCTTCACTCACAACTACACCAGACGTCAACACTTTACCGGAAAGTGTTAAGTGACTCCTCCCTCATTACTTTCCACTTAAATACTTAAAATGTCTGGAAAATCTGACAGCACTTAAGCGCCAAAGACTGAGAGCATCACCCTGGACCCGCGCGACGATGATCATGTTCTCATTAACCGCATTACCCGCCAAGTTATCTCCTTCATATTTCCTACACCGGACCCCGGGTCACTCCAGTCGCATCCCGACCCAGTCATCCAGGGTTCGACTCCCGGGCAGAGCGAGACGTTGCGGCTTGATTCCTTCACGTCACGCGGATCAGTCGTTGACCAAGGGTAGCCTCGCTAAGTCTTAAAAGCTTACAGCCCATCAGGACGCAGCCTTGAGGTAACCCCAGTGACACGAATGGAGGATATTAATAGGATTGTAATGGGATCAGTTTAGATAAAGCGATAAATTGAGACAATACGGGTTTGGAAATTGGGTTGATAATTGATCAAAGAAATTGCAGGACAAGAGACCGCTGCAGTGTTTCAAGCGCAGCCTAGACACGTGTGGTTGTACTCGGACGTAAAATACTAAGTACCTCTGTATTGACCAATAGACATACTAGTACATTTGTAATTTACCCGCGGGGGCCATATCCTCTCGAGTGGCCTCCACGGGGGGACAGCAAGCCGGCTCACCATAGCCCGTGCTACTTGCCCCGCTCCTGTGCCAGGTAAGTCCACTACGGGCTCACCATAGCCCGTGCTACTTGCCCCGCTCCTGTGCCAGGTAAGTCTACTACGGGCTCACCATAGCCCGTGCTACTTGCCCCGCTCCTGTGCCAGGTAAGTCTACTACGGGCTCGCCATAGCCCGTGCTACTTGCCCCGCTCCTGTGCCAGGTAAGTCTACTACGGGCTCACCATAGCCCGTGCTACTTGCCCCGCTCCTGTGCCAGGTAAGTCTACTACGGGCTCACCATAGCCCGTGCTACTTGCCCCGCTCCTGTGCCAGGTAAGTCTACTACGGGCTCACCATAGCCCGTGCTACTTGCCCCGCTCCTGTGCCAGGTAAGTCCACTACGGGCTCACCATAGCCCGTGCTACTTGCCCCGCTCCTGTGCCAGGTAAGTCTACTACGGGCTCACCATAGCCCGTGCTACTTGCCCCGCTCCTGTGCCAGGTAAGTCCACTACGGGCTCACCATAGCCCGTGCTACTTGCCCCGCTCCTGTGCCAGGTAAGTCTACTACGGGCTCGCCATAGCCCGTGCTACTTGCCCCGCTCCTGTGCCAGGTAAGTCCACTACGGGCTCGCCATAGCCCGTGCTACTTGCCCCGCTCCTGTGCCAGGTAAGTCCACTACGGGCTCACCATAGCCCGTGCTACTTGCCCCGCTCCTGTGCCAGGTAAGTCCACTGCGGGCTCACCATACTCCGTGCTACTTGCCCCGCTCCTGTGCCAAGTAAGTCCACTACGGGCTCACCATAGCCCGTGCTACTTGCATTTGTAACGGATTGGTCGAGTCTGTCAAAACAACACAAAAACGACGTATTAGCAAGAGGGAGAGTTGAGGTGATGTCTGGTAAGGGGACATCAACGGCTACTGGACCACCTGATGACATCAACACATTCTGGCTGATGAGTTGATGTCATTAGCCTATTGATGAGTAGGTAACGTCAGTAGCCTATTGATGAGTAGGTGACATCATTAGCCTATTGATGAGTAGGTGACGTCAGTAGCCTATTGATGAGTAGGCGACGTCAGTAGCCTATTGATGAGTAGATGACATCCGTAGCTTATTGATGAGGTGACGTCAGTAGCCTATTGATGAGTAGGTGACGTCAGTAATCTTTCATGGGAAGGTGACATTATTGATGGGAAGATGACATCATTAGTGATGAGTAGGTTGTAATGATCTGGGGCTCAGCTCATTGGTTCTCCCTTCTCCCCTCTTTTCCCTCTCCTTCTCCCCTCCTTTCCTTCTCCCTCTCCCCTCCTTCCTTCTCCCCTCCCCTTGGCCGTCATTCGTCTCCTCTTTCCCCCCCCCCCCCTTGTCGCCCATTTGTCAAGGTCAAGAGGTTGACCTGAGGGTGGGGTGGTCTTGGATACCTTGGCTTCTCCCACTCAATTCCCCACTCAGATGTTCCCCTCTCATCCCCTCTCTTTCCCTCTCACCGGCCTCTTCCCCATACGAGGCAGAGTCAAATGTCCCTACTCGCTATCTTAGAGGAGACAGGCTTGAACATAATTTATCAGTTTTGTAAACATTGCTCGCAGGTGCCTGGGCTCCATAGACGCGCCTTGTCCCCCTTCTCTTTAGCTGGGGAGAGCTGACTCAATCTTCAGGAATTCATGTAGCTTTCCACGACAGATCAGTGAAGGTGATTGGCCTGAGATAAGGCCAAGTCCTTATTGGCCCTAGAGAGCCAGACCTCAGGCCTACGTGTTAAATGGTTGGCCATTGCCAAAATAATGGGTGGAGCCCTGGGGCTGTAGTAGATGGTGGGAGGAGTAATCCTTCCCAGCAATAAGCTGGTAAAACAAAATTTCATCAGTGTGTCTTGGGAGTGTATTAGGAACAGGGCCGCAAGCCCGTATCCTCGGGGCTGAGGGCAGCCATCAACATCGTGGCCGTAGTGCGGGTATTTAAGGTATGCACGTTGAGTTTGTGCCCTCAATAAATATCCATTGTGCCTCAAAGGGAAAATAGAATAGGTGATGTGTTCAAATTGTCTTAATTTACATGTTTCATAAAATAAATTGTATAGCTTGTCCAGTGGTATTCACTTAACTCCCCTTTGATATATTTTGCTACTTTGTCATTTTTTAGGTGTTGTATTGGAAGCCTTCCCCAGGTTCTAACAATTAATAGATACTAAAGTTGCCCTTGGATTCAAATAAGTAACGTAAATTACACAAACTAATTTTCCAAAATTTATTCCTGAAATTCATATTACCCGGAGTCCCATGGTTACTGATTCCTTGCCTTCCTGGGGGATCGGTGATCGACACATTCAGGTATGGTTGGTCGGGAAGGTGGTGGCAGTGTAAATGTGTTTTGTTATTGTTTTTTTTTTATACTAATAACCCTTGTCCTTGGTGTATCTTCCTCATTTAATATTCCTCTTACATACGTGGCAGTCCAGCGAGGGGTCATGCTGGACTGTAACAGCGTTAAGCTGGGGTATTGAGTGAAGAGAGACAGAGAATTACAACAGAGAGCGTATAGTACGATTATGAGAGATCACAAGATAACAGGATTAATACTGGGGAACATTGGGTTATTACAATAAAGGCCGCGGTTATTACGGAAGGGTAAGCGGGCATTACAAGGTGACATTGATGAGCATGTACCACCAGTAGCTTAGTGAGGATAGGGTATGATCAGTAAGAGAGTAGTAGGATAGAGAGGAGTGTGAGAGAGCTAAGAGAGAGCCGTCACTCTGGGTGTTGCAGACGGGCCCGAGAGAGACGGTGGTGACGTACCCGGGTGAGAGTGACGGGAGTGGACGGGTCTCCGCGTGGTCGGGCCTCCACATGTGGCTCCACGCCCACCACTTCACCCACGGCGCCCTCGTCGTCCGCTGCACCGCCACCATCCTCCACGTGTACCGGGTCTCCACCGAGCTCGTCATCACCGACGGCCGCTCCCTCCACACCTCCCCGCGGGAGGGCGCCTCCACGGGCGGTAAGTCACCCCCTCAAATTACAAATATAAGATAATCGTATCCTATTGTATGGACCAATCTCGTATGGGGCCAATAGGAGCTGCCTCGTATGGGCCAATGAGCTTTCTTTTGTTTCCTTCATGTTGTTAAGTAAAATGTTTAATTTTAGAGAGATAACTTGTGCCACTCCGTGTTGCAGGCGCGGAAGGGTGTCCGTCAGTAGTGTGGGTGTTGCTGCTGCTGCTGCTGCTCCTGCTGGACCTCCTGGGCACCTGAAGGGACCTGTTCCTCCCCACTTACCTTCTGTAGCGCCTGCCTCGACGGTGGAGGAGCAGCGTCACGCTCGAGAGTGGAGGTGGCTTTATCAACGAGGCTGGAATACAGAACAGGGCTATAATCAACGTGTTCCAGGGACAGAGGACGGGGCTGGAATAGAGGACGGGGCTGGAATAGAGGACGGGGCTGGAATAGAGGACGGGGCTGGAAACAATGAGGATGCTGGGATAGAGGACGGTGCTGGAAGCAAGGAAGTTCCTGGGATAGAGGACGGTGCTGGAAACAATGAGGATGCTGGAATAGAGGACGGGGCTGGAATAGAGGACGGGGCTGGAAACAATGAGGATGCTGGGATAGAGGACGGTGCTGGAAGCAGGTTAGATGCTGGAAGCAAGGAAGTTCCTGGGATAGAGGACGGTGCTGGAAGCAAGGAAGTTCCTGGGATAGAGGACGGTGCTGGAAACAATGAGGATGCTGGAATAGAGGACGGGGCTGGAAGCAGGTTAGATGCTGGAATAGAGGACGATGCTGGAAGCAAGGAAGATGCTGGAAACAATGAGGATGCTGGGATAGAGGACGGGACTGGAAGCAAGGAAGATGCTGGAATAAAGGATGGGACAAGGAAGATGCTGGAATAAAGGATGGGACTGGATGCTGGAATAAAGGATGGGACTGGAAGCAAGGAAGATGCTGGAATAAAGGATGGGACTGGAAACAAGGAAGATGCTGGAATAAAGGATGGGACTGGAAGCAAGGAAGATGCTGGAATAAAGGATGGGACTGGAAGCAAGGAAGATGCTGGAATAAAGGACGGGACTGGAATCATGGAAGGAGTAAAAATAAGAAAGACTGATACCATTACCAAAGTAAAATGTAACTTATCTCAGCACCCTCGTCACTTTCATTAATTTGACTCATTGGGTACTATACTCCACTAAGTCAGTGACACTCACCATCACTGTCATTTTCACTGTCACCACCACCACGGCTAGTGCCACTATCACCACTATTCCATCACCATCACCACTATTAATACCACTGTCACCACCACCACTGCTAGTGCCACTATCACCACTATTCCATCACCATCACCACTATTAATACCACTGTCACCACCACCACTGCTAGTGCCACTATCACCACTATTCCATCACCATCACCACTATTAATACCACTGTCACCACCACCACTGCTAGTGCCACTATCACCACTATTCCATCACCATCACCACTATTAATACCACTGTCACCATCACCACTGCTAGTGCCACTATCACCACTATTCCATCACCATCACCACTATTAATACCACTGTCACTACCACCGTCACCCCCACTCTCACCATCACTACCATCCTGCCTTGTGACTGGTCACCATCACTATACCGACATTAATAATAACTTTAAACTATTGTCACTATTATTATTGCATCACTTGTATTATTTACCAATATTATAAAGCAATTGTTTCGACTTTGTTGATTTACTGGAATTTAGGAGGAGTTTAAGGCTGTGTTGTGATTATGGCCAAGGAATCGGAGGCAAAGAGACAGAGAAGGAAAGCCGGTAGCCAGGAAGACAGACCAGAATCGGACTTCGTTTGTGCTCGGTGTGGGATGGACTGCCACTCTCGGATTGGCCTCATCAGTCACACCAGACGCTGCACCAGGATTGACAACTAGGGCGCAACTCCATAGTCTCCCGAGACTGAAGGATGCCTACTACTGTGATTATGGTCATTGGAAAGGTATATTGTGTCGGGCGCCCTCACCACAACAGTCTGCTATATCAAGAGTCCACACCAAAAAGTCCTCCACAAGAATTAAGTGTATCCCACCTCTATAAAAATTTCGCGCGCGCGCGTGTGTGTATGTATGTGTATGTGTGTCTGTCTGTCTGTCTGTCTGTCTGTCTGTCTGTCTGTCTGTGTGTGTGTGTGTGTGTGTGTGTGTGTGTGTGTGTGTGTGTGCGCGCGCGCGCGTGCGTATACTTGTATATATATACTCAGTAAACTGTCCTGGCGTTTGCACATTTTGTAAATAAACTGTGAGATCAAACCTTGTATTATACTCACTTGTAAACCAAATACAGAAAACCAAATACAAAGTACAGTATAACTGCAATATTCAAATATACTGAATTATTTATACAACAGTGATGGAATAGTACAGTGATAATTGCAGAATACACATGTATAATACAATGACTGTATTGTGTATGAATACGCAAGACAAGTTTGGTGATGAGCTTTAGGCCTAACAAGGATGGTTATACACCTGCAACACATCTTGAAACAGCAACTGAATTTAATAGTTTCTTTTCATCGATTGGTGCTAACCTTGCCCGAAAAATCCCACAAACTCAGACAGTCTCAGACAGAAAAATCCCACATATCTTTCAGGCAGCTATCCAAACTCTCTTCTCCTCTCTCCGGTCAGCCCTACAGGTGTTGTGTCCATCATTCACTCGCTAAAAACCAAAGCTGGGAACATTAGTGAAATACCAGCCATGGTATATAGTTGCCGCGTGGCGTGGTGGAGGTGGGGTCCCTCCATTGTTTCAAGCGTGGGTTGGACATGTTTATGAGTGGGATTGGGTGGTTATAGATAGGAGCTGCCTCGTATGGGCCAATAGGCCTTCTGCAGTTACCTTGTTCTTATGTATACAAGAGTGCCTCCCATGCCCTTGCACCAACCATAGCATTGCTGTTCAATAAATCCCTAGTGTCATACCTTCCCTGATATTCTTAAAAAAGCAAGAGTAACGCCAGTTCATAAAGGAGGTAACACGGCAGACATAAATAATTACAGACCAATATCGAGTCTACCTATATTATCAAAAATATTTGAAAAAATTATTTACAAACAGCTCTACTCCTATCTTCTAAAATTCAATATACTAAGTCCCTGTCAGTTTGGCTTCCTCTCCCAAAAAGAGTACCAATGATGCTGTTGTTAGTCTGCTTGACTTAATCTACTCAGCCTTTGACAAAAGTGAGTTTCCGATTGGACTCTTCATTGACCCGAGAAAGGCCTTTGATACTGTTAACCATAACTACCTCTTACTTAAACTCCAGCATTATGGAGTCCGTGGACTCCATAATGAACTATATCCTGAACTATATCCGATCCTATCTTAGTGACAGACACCAGTGTGTAGCCATCAGTGATATAACCTCTCCTACTCTACCACTAACAGGGGTGCCACAGGGCAGCATCCTAGGACCCCTCCTGTTTCTTATATACATCAATGATCTAGCTAATGTCTCTAACATGCTTAAACTTATATGGTTTGCTGATGATACTACTCTCATCTACTCTGACCCAACCCACTCATGTTAAATAATGTTGTAAACAATGAATTTAAAAAAAAGTCCACTTGTGGATGTCAACCAAGAAACTCACACAAAACATAGAAAAGACCTACTACATCTTATTTGGAAACAAATCAACAAATGCAATTCAGCTTCAGACAGATAATGTAAACATTAGCAATAAAAATGACGGAAAGTTCCTTGGCCTATACTTAGACAAGAGACTCAACTTCAGTACCCATATACAACACATAACTAAAAAGGTTTCTAAAAACGGTTGGTATATTCTCTTAAGATCAGATATTATGTACCCTACTCTGCTCTCCTCTCACTCTATTATGTACTTATCTATCCCTATCTTATGGTATCTGTGCTTGGGGTTCAACCTCTGTAAACTACCGCAAGCCCATCATCACCCAGCAAAAATCTGCTTAAGGCAAAAGTTGGACAGCTATTCAAATCATTAGAGAGTGAGTTCCATAGACTGTCTCTTTATTTGCATAGAGTGTTTACACAGATTAAGTTTGACTCTGGAGATATCAAAGAGATACTTATGTCTGGTGTGGTGAGTATGTGTTCTATTACATCTGTCCAGGAAGAGTTTCAGAACAGGGTTTGCGCTTAGAAAAAGGGTTTTATAAACGTAATTTACACAAGCGAATGTATGGAGTGAATTTATGTTTAGCATGTTTAGGGAGTTAAACAATGGAGCTGTGTGTTGTCTGAAAGCAGTTTGTTATTATCCTGATAGCAGATTTTTGCTATCAGGATAATAACAAACTGCTTTCAGACAACACACAGCTCCATTGTTTAACTCCCTAAACATGCTAAACATAAATTCACTCCATACATTCGCTTGTGTAAATTACGTTTATAAAACCCTTTTTCTAAGCGCAAACCCTGTTCTGAAACTCTTCCTGGACAGATGTAATAGAACACATACTCACCACACCAGACATAAGTATCTCTTTGATATCTCCAGAGTCAAACTTAATCTGTGTAAACACTCTATGCAAATAAAGAGACTTAGTCTATGGAACTCACTCTCTAATGATTTGAATAGCTGTCCAACTTTTGCCATATTCAAAAATAAAGCCAAAGAGTACCTAATTTCATCTTCATAGTTTTCTACCATGTGCTTTATCTTTGCACTGTATCTAGTGCTACTCAATCCCCCAATATTTGTACCTAAGCCATATTACTTTATCATTGTAATCTTAGATATCATCTGATATCATGGTTGTTGTATTGAGTGCATATTCAACTGCATTATTCCTTGAAACTTTTCCTTGAGTAAGTAATTATCAAAAGTAGGCACCAAACCGGGAAGGCTATGTAGCACCATCAAATGTGCGGGATAATCAGAGGGCGCTAAACATCACCAAGAATGCCAATACGAGAACAAAAACGCATAAGGCGAACGATATCAAAAGTATCCGAGTCACCAAGAATTCTATCGAGGGACAAGCGACCGCGAGGGACGGTCGGAAAGCAAGACACACGCTCGTCCTGGAAGTCAGGACACTCAAGAAGGACATGCACGACCGTAAGAGGGACAATGCAATTAGGACAATAAGGAGCAGGGCGGCGCTCCATCAAGTGACCGTGGGTTAAGCGAGTATGGCCAATACGCAACCTTGCCAGAGCTGTTTCCCATCGCCGGTTACGGTGGTAGGAGGACGGCCACGAGGAAACACAACATTTAAGAGTACGCAGTTTGTTACCAGTAACAGACGACCAAGAAGCCTGCCAACGGGTAAGGACGGAGGAATGGATAACCGGATAAAAGTCGGAATAAGGAATACCTTTACGAGAGATGGGACAAGAGCGGACAGCTTCCTTGGCGGCAGCATCCGCACGCCCATTTAAAGACACACCAATATGGCTGGGAACCCAACAAAACTCAACCGACTTAAATTTACTGTGAACAAGAAACAGCCAATGCTGGATCTCGACAACTACTGGATGAACTGGATTAAAGGACCCAAGAGCCACGAGGGCACTACGAGTCAACAACAACTACAAAGGAAGACTGACAACGAGAAAGCAGGAGACGAAGAGCATAGAAAATAGCATAAAGCTCCGCTGTAAAGATGCTAGTCTCCGGAGGTAAGCGACACATAAGTGCGATCAGGAAAAACAACAAAGTAGCCAACACCGTCCGCAGACTTAGACCCATCGGTGAAGACGGAAACGGAGCGGGAGTGAGAAGAAAAGTGCTCAAGGAAAAGGCGTTTTACAACCGTAGGAGGGGTAAAAGCTTTAGTGATGCAGGCTAACTTTTGCCCCTCCTGCGGTTCCTGTTCCTCTTCACCTCCCTCTTTCTGTCCGGTTATCTCGCTTACAGGATTCTTTCAGTTCGTATTTCTAATGTATCTCCTCGTGTTGTTCCTTCTTTGCCCCCGTGGAGAGCGCAGTTTTGTACATCCTTAAAGCACGACAGAGGCGAGAGGAAGGATGTTGCAAGGATCGTGCAAGATAGCGAAGACAGTAGCGATCACGGCGGTCCTGGAGAGACAGGAAGCCAGTGTCAACATACAAGCTAAGGACGGGAGTCGAACGAAAGGCACCAGAACTGAGGCGCAACCCAGTATGGTGCAAAGCATCAAGACGGCGAAGAGTAGAAGGAGAAGCAGACGAGTAAGCAGGGCGACCATAATCGAGCTTAGACAGGACGAGAGAGGAATGTAAAGCAAGGAGAGTGCGCCTATTCGCTCCGCAAGAAGTATGGGACAATACCTGAAGGAGGGTAAGGGCCTTAGAGCACTCAACACGGAGGAAAGAGATACGGGGAAATTGAAATAAGTTTATTGAGGTAAAATACACACAAAGGGATGAGGTAGCTCAAACTATTCTCACCCCGTTCAGTACATCGTGTTAATACACACATAGACACACATCACAAACAATAAACATATTACCAAACATTCTGAGATAAACATATACAGTTCCTAATATCATATAAGTATAAGTAGAGTAATACAAAGATATGGGGAGACCAAGACAAACGCGTGTCAAGGAATAACCCCAAAAGCTTCGCGGAATCCCTGTACTCAAGGGGATGACCATAAAGTGACAAAGAGGGACGAACAACGACCCGCTTCCGAGTACAAGTCATGGCACAAGTCTTAGAAGTAGAGAACTTGAAGCCATGATCGGTGGCCCAAGACGACACGGCATCAATCGCAAGTTGAAGTCGCCGTTGAAGGAGAGGCGAATCATCACCTCGACAGCAAAGGGTAAGATCATCGACGTATAGAAACTTTTCCTTCTAATGATCCTCATATTGTGCTTCAGTGAACCACTGTATAACCCGGAAATGTTATCCTCATGTACCTAGTAATCCTTGTTTCTTTATTGTGTATTGATAACCCGGAAATGTTATCCTCATGTACCTAGTAATCCTTGTTTCTTTATTGTGTATTGATAACCCGGAAATGTTATCCTCATGTACCTAGTAATCCTTGTTTCTTTATTGTGTATTGATAACCCGGAAATGTTATCCTCATGTACCTAGTAATCCTTGTTTCTTTATTGTGTATTGATAACCCGGAAATGTTATCCCCATGTACCTAGTAATCCTTGTTTCTTTATTGTCTATTGTTATTATTATGTTTTATTCTCATCTGCTTTTTTGTGTCAAAATTTCTTCAAATTACCAGTAATTTTTTGTTTATTTTACTGTAATTATTCTACTTAAAATTATCTGAACCTGTAAAGAAAAGCTGTAAAATACCTGCTAACATTTTTTGTCAATTTTACTCTTAATTTATAAAAAAAAAAAAAAATTTTTTAGTTTAAAGACTTGCCGGAAACGCTATACGTGCTAGTGGCTTTACAAGAATGTTAATTCAACTTATTTCCTATATTCTCTGTTAACCCCCAACGTGATTTCTTGTATATAAATAAAATAAATAAATAAATAAATACATTTGGTTACTAATGCGATGACGTCATTAGGATGTTGCCATATACACCAGTCTCCCAAATTAAGAACACAATTTCCCCATAAGTACTGATGATTTTAGAAGCCACACTTGAGTAATTCTAACATCTCTCTCACCATATAGAATTAAAACAGTTTAGCTGGCCTATTGAACTATTTATATATTATTTAAATTATTATGTGAACTGGTAATCTATGGTGCTCTTGGAGGTAGATATTGCCAACTGATAGGGCTGTGGAATACACCGAGGAGGAGTGACAACTCTTATCTCAAGCTGGTAAGTCTATATGTGTCTAGTATATATTCAGTATATCCTTTTGGATCACCATATATCCCGGTAATAATCGCTGGGTAAGTACACTTTCATACAGCTTCTTTCACTATTGTATATAGTGCAAGAGTATATATTAATATATATATACTTGTATATAGTGTATATATTAATACTGCCCCTCATCACAAAGATTAGTAACATTATACAGTAGAGTAATATCGATATAATAAAGCTTCTATATTACAATATGCAATTTTATCGAGTATCTACTATAAGAAGATTATTGATATACGGTATATACCTGTGTGACCGACCTATCAAGACTAACTGGCTTAGCTAAATTATATACGAGAGTCAGTTCCTCTGTAACCCTTAACACTAGCGCCCACAGGATGGGTATGGGGTCCACTACCACCCACAGGATGGGTATGGGGTCCACTACCACCCACAGGATGGGTATGGGGTCCACTACCACCCACAGGATGGGTATGGGGTCCACTACCACCCACAGGATGGGTATGGGGTCCACTACCACCCACAGGATGGGTATGGGGTCCACTACCACCCACAGGATGGGTATGGGGTCCACTACCACCCACAGGATGGGTATGGGGTCCACTACCACCCACAGGATGGGTATGGGGTCCACTACCACCCACATGATGGGTATGGGGTCCACTACCACCCACATGATGGGTATGGGGTCCACTACCACCCACAGGATGGGTATGGGGTCCACTACCACCCACAGGATGGGTATGGGGTCCACTACCACCCACAGGATGGGTATGGGGTATATAATAAATGTATAAAATCAAGTTGTTAAATGTTATATATATATTTATACAGTACTGTATATAATGATTAATTTTATCAGGACAGGAAGCCTGTGTGTGTATACACACACACACACACTAAGTTTGTGTTGAGATCTCCCAAGGTCAAACTACTGACCTTTCCCAGGGTGCAACCCCACAATAGTTGCCTAACTCATAGGTACCTATTTACTGCTAGGTGAACAGAGACATTAGGTGAAAAAAAAGTGCCCAGCCATTTCTGCCCTGCCTGGGAATTGAACCCGGGATCCCCGAGTGAGAGTCAATCCCTATGCTGAATGCCATCCTAGCCAACCTGACCTTACCTAACCCAATTCAACCTAACACAGCCTACCCTAATGACATGTACAACTTTACAAGTAGAAAACCAACTTTGTCAAAATATGTTTATGCTTCAACCATACCCAGGAGCCGGTCGGCCGAGCGGACAGCACGCTGGACTTGTGATCCTGTAGTCCTGGGTTCGATCCCAGGCGCGGGCGAGAAACAGCGGGCAGAGTTTCTTTCACCCTATGCCCCTATAACCTAGCAGTAAAATAGGTACCTGGGTGTTAGTCAGCTGTCACGGGCTGCTTCCTGGGGGTGGAGGCCTGGTTGAGGACCGGGCCGCGGGGACACTAAAGCCCCGAAAGATGATTGCCCTGTATTCAATACATTGCTACTCACTGGATGAATATGGCATGCTTACCTAACAGTAACTGTCGGGTAGTGAGGTCTAGCTTTGCCCTAACAACTAACCTTGTTAAACCTTATGCATTTGGTCACAAGACTGGCAAATGCTTTTTAATAGTGACAAATGCCAGACCCTGCATGTGGGGGAATAACAACCCATGCCACGACTGCCAAATTAATAACATTACTTTACAGCAGATTGATGATGAAAAAGACCTTGGCATAAAAATCCACCACTAAATGAGAGTTGCACAGAAGGTAGGGGGAGCAGCCAGAAAGATAACCAAACCCTTGGAATAATCAAGCATACTTTTTAACTTTAAGGAAAAGAAAGTAGTTATTCAATTATGTAAATCTCTGGTGCCCACGTGGAGACCACATCTTTAGAAGGACATAGCTTCTCTGGAGAAAGTGCAATACCAGGCAACAAAAATTATTCCAGATCTTGGTCATCTCTTGTATCTGGAAGGTTGAGGGCCACAGGGCTAACAACACTGCAAACCAGGCATGAGAGGGCAGATCTCATTGAAACTTTTAAAATACTGAACAAATTGAAGGATGTTGATCCAGAAAATTTCTTCAAAGGCAGAATTTTGAGAAATTCTGCCTTTGAAGGCAGAAACAAATACCAGAAACAAATACGTATTTGATATTCCAAGAGTTAGACTTAATCAAACTAGGAATGCTCTACAAATCAAGGGACCCAGAATGTGGAATGACCTTCCCAATTATGTCAAAGATTGTACCTCTCTAAACCAGTTTAAGATGAAAACTAAGTACTACCTAATTAACTCCATGTAACCTACCTTACTTCTAAATGTCAACCCATGTCTTACTATTAAAAAAAAAAAAAATGCTGTTTGTTGACCAACTTGTATATTGGCTATTTTTTACTATGTTCCCCCTTTTTTTTTATCTTTTATTATTTTTTTTTTCATTTAACACAATTTATACTTTAAGCTCAATTACCATTAAGTTTTAGTCTAAGTGGTTTTTTTCCCCACCTCTCCTTGCCTTGCCCGAAATGCTATGCGTACTAGTGGCGTTAGGTATTGTATGTACTAACTCTATCTTTAAATCTAACAATGTTTGTACTGTAACTGCAACTATGTATGTACTGTTCCTAAATAAATTATTATTATTATTATTATTATTATTATTATATTAACACAGACAAGAAGCAATGGTTTTAAACTCAACAAGCCACAGTGTAGGGCAGAACAGATGCTTTTTCACCCACAGGGTTATAAACCCATGGGAACTGCTTACTTGCCGAAGCTGTAATTGCCAAAACTGTTAACTTTTCAAGTACAACTGGAAAAGATCAAGGCAAATAAATGGCGGGGGGAGACCTTCGACAAGCTGCCGGCTTCCTGTCCACATTGAGCCCACTAGTGTTAGTGGCTCACGGGAAAATACGGGTAAATAGCTCACTTTCGATATCTGCACCTGGGGACCTAACTCAAAACTACCTCACAATTACTCCACCCAAATTAGTCCTCAGAAGAGTCACTTCAACCCTAGACAGTATGCAACCTTACTTAAATCCTTGAACATGCTTAATACAAAAAGCACTAATCAAACACTCTCTGATGGCTGCAACAGAGCCCACAGACACCACACTATACCAGAATCAAGTATCTATTTAAAATGCCAAGAATCCAAATTAACCAAAGCAGAAATGCCATGCAAATAATGTCCTAAATTGTTGACTTCCAAATGTAATTAAATTATGTACTTCTCTTAACCAATTTAAAGGAGATATAGTAAGTAATTATCAAAAGAAGGCACCAAACCGGGAAGGCTATGTAGCACCATCAAATGTGCGGAATAATCAGAGGGCGCTAAATATCACCAAGGAAGGAGATATAGAAATACCTAATTAGCATACAGTAGGCATTTATACAGTATATCTACTAGACCAGCCAGTAGTGTTTAGTGGTACACTATTAGTAGTAACTACCATTACTGTCTGTACTTTATAGTATTTACAACTACGGCTATATAGTCTAAAATAGTCAACACCAGCCTTTTCATCAGGTGTACATTATTTCATTCATTTTTTTTTTTTTGTTTACATTTACATGTTAACTTACACCCCATAGTACAGGTATTAATTAAGACTGAAAAAGTGACAACACATTAATCTTAAGTTTGTCAAAAATGATGCATGTGATAAGTGACTTTAGAAAAAATATAATTACCAATTAACAAATTTTACTTCAAAGACTAATACAGTACATTATTTTTATTAATATATTATTATTATTATGATGATGATTGAGAAACTTACAATAATGTCATAGTGCTTGAATGACGGTGAAGGGAAGACCCAATTTATGTTTAAGTGTATTAAAAAACAAACTTTCAGATATAACCTACATCCTTTCTCAAGGTGTTGTATTCAATGGTCTGGATGTAGGATATTGTATACAGTAACTTGAGAATGCATGTCGGTTACATCCAAAAACTTGGTTACACTTAACATAAAAATTGGGTCACTCCTTCACCTTTATCAATATTATTACTGTATTATGATTATTATTTACACCTCTCAGTGGTTCCTAAGAAATGAGCCAACAAACACTGGGATACCTGGTGCTGTCTCCCGACACCCTCGGGATGCTAGTCTCACGACACCCTCGGGATGCTAGTCTAACGACACCCTCGGGATGCTAGTCTAACGACACCCTCGGGATGCTAGTCTCCCGACACCCTCGGGATGCTAGTCTCCCGACACCCTCGGGATGCTAGTCTCCCGACACCCTCGGGATGCTAGTCTCCCGACACCCTCGGGATGCTAGTCTCCAGACACCCTCGGGATGCTAGTCTCCCGACACCCTCGGGATGCTAGTCTCCCGACACCCTCGGGATGCTAGTCTCCAGACACCCTCGGGATGCTAGTCTCCCGACACCCTCGGGATGCTAGTCTCCCGACACCCTCGGGATGCTAGTCTCCAGACACCCTCGGGATGCTAGTCTCCCGACACCCTCGGGATGATAGTCTCCCGACACCCTCGGGATGCTAGTCTCCCGACACCCTCGGGATGCTAGTCTAACGACACCCTCGGGATGCTAGTCTCCCGACACCCTCGGTGATGCTAGTCTCCAGACACCCTCGGGATACTAGTCTCCCGACACCCTCGGGATGCTAGTCTCCCGACACCCTCGGGATGCTAGTCTAACGACACCCTCGGGATGCTAGTCTAACGACACCCTCGGGATGCTAGTCTAACGACACCCTCGAGATGCTAGTCTCCCGACACCCTCGGGATGCTAGTCTCCCGACACCCTCGGGATGCTAGTCTCCCGACACCCTCGGGATGCTAGTCTCCCGACACCCTCGGGATGCTAGTCTCCAGACACCCTCGGGATGCTAGTCTCCCGACACCCTCGGGATGCTGGTCTCCCGACACCCTCGGGATGCTGGTCTCCCGACACCCTCGGGATGCTGGTCTCCCAACACCCTCGGGATGCTACTCTCCAGACACCCTCGGGATGCTAGTCTCCCGACACCCTCGGGATGCTGGTCTCCCGACACCCTCGGGATGCTAGTCTCCCGACACCCTCGTGATGCTAGTCTCCCGACACCCTCGGGATGCTAGTCTCCCGACACCCTCGGGATGCTAGCCTCCCGACACCCTCGGGATGCTAGTCTCCCGACACCCTCGGGATGCTAGCCTCCCGACACCCTCGGGATGCTAGTCTCCCGACACCCTCGGGATGCTAGTCTCTCCTGACACCCTCGGGATGCTAGTCTAACGACACCCTCGGGATGCTAGTCTCCCGACAGCCTCGGGATGCTAGTCTCCCGACACCCTCGGGATGCTAGTCTAACGACACCCTCGGGATGCTGGTCTCCCGACACCCTCGGGATGCTGGTCTCCCAACACCCTCGGGATGCTACTCTCCAGACACCCTCGGGATGCTAGTCTCCCGACACCCTCGGGATGCTGGTCTCCCGACACCCTCGGGATGCTGGTCTCCCGACACCCTCGGGATGCTAGTCTCCCGACACCCTCGGGATGCTAGTCTCCCGACACCCTCGGGATGCTAGTCTCCCGACACCCTCGGGATGCTAGCCTCCCGACACCCTCGGGATGCTAGCCTCCCGACACCCTCGGGATGCTAGTCTACCGACACCCTCGGGATGCTAGTCTCCCGACACCCTCGGGATGCTAGCCTCCCGACACCCTCGGGATGCTAGCCTCCCGACACCCTCGGGATGCTAGTCTCTCCTGACACCCTCGGGATGCTAGTCTAACGACACCCTCGGGATGCTAGTCTCCCGACAGCCTCGGGATGCTAGTCTCCCGACACCCTCGGGATGCTAGTCTAACGACACCCTCGGGATGCTAGTCTAACGACACCCTCGGGATGCTAGTCTAACGACACCCTCGGGATGCTAGTCTAACGACACCCTCGGGATGCTAGTCTAACAACACCCTCGGGATGCTAGTCTAACGACACCCTCGGGATGCTAGTCTAACGACACCCTCGGGATGCTAGTCTAACAACACCCTCGGGATGCTGGTCTCCCGACACCCAGGGAGCCAAACATCCAGGAACCAGTTACGTAATTCTGCGAGTGTGCCCAATAGTATGGAAACAAAGGGTGGTATAATATAGACACTTGATACACAAGGTTATAGTATACTGACAAGGACACAAGGAAACACTGTCTCAGTATATGGTAGTAAACAACAAAGGGATGGAACTCAAACCCCGCCACAACACACTGAAAAAATGCACATTTGGTAGTTTAAGAGCTTACAATTACAGTATATTAATGTACAGTATTTCACTAGCTACAGACCATCCCATCTTGAAATGAAGCAAGAGGACAACTTGCTGTGGCCGTCAACCTTGTGATCACCGAAGAGGCTCACCAATGGTAGTGACAGACATACCCCCACTCCTGAAACTGGTTACCAGTAAAGTGAACGGCATATTCCTCGAAGATGTTCACCACCAGTAAGTGACAGGCATACTCCTTGAAGATGTTCACCACCAGTAAGTGACAAGCATACTCCTTGATAACATACACCCCCAAGATTGATAAGCATTAGTGATAAGTGGCAGACATATCCCCTAAGATGTGCACCAATAATACATTGACAGGCATACTCCCAGATGACCTTCACAAGCTGAGATACCAGTGTGTTGTCAACAAGGAAGGACAGAAGTTGTTTTACAAGGTGTTTACTTGGTCCTACCTCGGAGGCAATCTATCAGTCAAGGAATATCTCTCCACCATTCCCAATTACACAAACGATCTATATAAAAAACAATTTAATGCCCACCAGCGTACAAAATTGAATGCTGGGATTCCAACCAGCAGCTTTGATATAAGCCTTCTTTACAAACTTCTCTGTCATGTGTGTAACCTTCAGAAAGATAAAGCATGGAGTTCTGAAGATCCAGCTGGACCCACCTTGGAAAACCTCATATACAAGGTAAAGGAGCACAGGAATCTGCTGGCTCACGAGGATCTGCAAATGAATGAGCAACAACTGCAGCTTAAACTAAATGAACTTCAACTGTTATATAAGAGGGTAATCTGTGAGGCTGGAATTCGTTTCTCTAAACCAGCTTCAGAAACCAATCGTATCATAATTAAAATTAATAACAACATTAACGGATTCTGTAAGAAGATCCGGGAACCCTTTGGACCAAATGATATCGCTCTCTATCAACAGGAGGTCAAAGAATTTCGAGAACAATTGGAATCCATCATAAAGCAAGCAGCACGGGAGGAGGTTGAGCAATTATATGCCGACACCTGCAATGTACACCTTGTACCATGGCTACTGGTGGACTATCAAATCAAGCCGATACAGATCTTCACCAGATTTGTCATAAATGAGGATGCCACTTCTCACAGCTTTGCAGAAGAGGAACAATCAAGAGAGATTTCTGTTAATAACATTTTGGAGGTCAAACGTGATCATAAGTTGCCTGAAGTGCTTATTTTAACCGGGGAAGGAGGGATGGGGAAAACAACTTTCCTAAAATACCTAACAGAGGTGTGGATCACAGACCCAGAGATGATCCCAGGCCTGGATAAGGTAGAGCTGCTGTTGTACATTGAGTGTCGCCACCCTGCAATTAGAACGTTTGACCAGTTGCTGAAACATACGCTGCATGCTACATCTAGAAATGTGAATGTTGAGTTTGAGATAATCAGAGAGGCAATACTTCACATGCAGTTACTCATTCTTGTGGATGGATTCGACGAGGTCAACGAGGCATCCGGGAATTTAATTCGTGAAGTGCTGAACCTTCCTCGACACACCACAAGAATTATCTTCACAACCAGACCAGACAGCACCAACACCCTCACCAAGCTAATACCACAATCTAAAAGAAGAGTCAATTTGGTCATGAATGGTATCACTCCTGACCATCATCAACAGTTTGTTGAGAAGCTATGTTGCAGTTTAATTAGTGAAGAGAGATGGTCGCATATCAGAGTGCAGCTCAAAGAAACATTTTCAGTCCTGAAGCAGCAACTTGGAATGCATCTCAACAACCCACTAACCCTCACACTTGTAACACTTCTCTTTCTCAAAGACCAAAACACATTCAACATGCTCACCACTGCCACTGACCTCTATGATGAACTGAGAAAATTGCTTACTGAAAAACTCACCGAAAGACTATCCAAATATACATTTGACTCAGAACTGGAATTCAAATGTTACCAATTTCTAGAGTATAGTGATGCTCTCGCCTTCCGAGCTATGAAGCGGCAAGAATACGAGCTGCAGAGTGAAACGGTTAAGAACTTAAAAGAAAAGTGTAGCAACTTGGGATTACGTCACACAGAAGTCTTGTCTGCATATTTCACGACACGCCGCTCAAGGCAAGGTCTCGTCCCCTGCTTGTATTACACTTACCATCACTTGAAGTTGCAAGAATTCTCAGTAGCAAAACATCTCCTCAAGGAAATCACTCAATGCACTAATCCTGAAGAAAATATCAAGAATTTCCTCATAGAAGGTGAAATGTGGAAGAAAGAGAAAAGGTTCCAAAATGTCCTGGTACACCTGACAAGCCTTCTCGCTAAGACTTGCCCTGATACTTTGGCCAGGTATGCTACATTTATTATAGATATGGTGCACCTTGATACAACCTGTATTGACTATGTCTTGGCTCATGTCACAGAGTCCAAACACAACGAGTGGACTGTCAAAGCTGTTGCAGCAAAGCTCGACATGCACACCAGTGTTAACAGCTGGTGGCAGATTGATGACTACAATAATCTTAAGAGCTTGTCTTCAGTACTGGAGTGCACACAAGTCAGTCCAAACATGGTAATCCTAAGCATTAAGTCCAGCATCATTCCTCAGGATCTTGCATTGGCACTTGACAGTCTGTCCAAGCACAATACCAAACTGGCACTAGACTTTCCCCAAAACTATTTTGGGTTAGACAGTTGCCCTGTGGATGAGGCCATGTTGAGGCTGTCAAGCTCTGAAGGGCCGTGTCGCCTGGTGGGGTTCCGTGGTCCACTCACACCGGAGGCATTGGTGAAGATTCCCGAGTGCGTAGAAGAACTCCGCTTGCTGATTGAGCCCGATGGTCTCCATGCCCTCAACACACGACTTCCCAGTCTCGGCCAGCTCAACATTCTAGGTGAGTGATGCAACATAACTAAACCAGTGCAAACTGGTTAATTATACTGGTCTACTGATTTTTATGCCATCGTGAACCAAATTTCCAAACCAAAACCTCTCTATACATCTGGTAATACACAATATGTATACTAGCAGTTTACTTCATGCAATCCAACACATAATAGGTGTAAAAGAACTGTGGATCACAGTGGCAATAAACTTTAAAAGAATGGAAGCAAGTTTTTATTAAAAACTAATTAAACTCAACATGCAGTTGTGTTTAATCGATAATAATAAATAAAAAATAAATAATAATCGATAGATGATTATCTATCGATTATTTAGATATTATAGATAAAGCTAATTATCAGTATTTCTAATCTATAATTAGAAATACTAAAATAATTAGAATTGGAAATTCTAATTATAGTTCAGTATTTCTAAAAGCATTATTATTATTATAGTACAATAGATGTAGTGTTTATTGATATACAGTATGATGTGCTGTATTTGGACACTATCAACTGGCACTTGTATTATGTAGGAAATTACAAGTGAACATTTATGAATACAAATTATTACTGTACTAACAGTATACAAGTAGTAACCCTTCAGCTTGTTTATTGTTTGTAAATTGTGGCAGGAGTCAAGTACGAGGACAAAGATCGCAGAGATCCAAGCACACTTCCCGTACTCCAATTTTCCGGCACAGACCTGTGCTTCACCTTCAACCCAATCATCACGGACAATACTCTAGACTTGGACTGGGCTAGTGCAATATTTGCCAGACTCTGTGCTGGTAGAGAGAGTGGCAGCTGCACAAGTATTCTCTTCAGAAAAACCCACCTTACAGGTAAACTATTGGACCAATATTATAAATAAATAAAATAAATCCGTAAATAAAAATATAAATTTAGTCTCCGTGGTGTAGTGGTAAGACACTCGCCTGGCGTTCCGCGAGCGCTATGTCATGGGTTCGTATCCTGGCCGGGGAGGATTTACTGGGTGCAATTCCTTAACTGTAGCCTCTGTTTAACTCAACAGTAAAATGTGTACTTGGTTGTAACAAGGATTCTTCGCGGCGGGGATCGTATTCCAGGGACCTGCCCGAAACGCTACGCGTACTAGCGGCTCTACAAGAATGTAACAACTCTTGTATATATCTCGTATCTCGTATAAATGGCAGTTGTTCAAAATGATTTGTCTTGAATTATATTTTGGTTATTCCTCGTTTCCTTTGGCTCCTCCTCCAAGACTGGAGGAGGAGCTTTGGACTCCTCCTCTAGTCTTGAGGAGTCTACTTCAGATATACAGCCAGTTTTAATAATTAAGTGAATTTCCCAAGTGTATGCAGACGAGGAGTCACAATAATGTGGCTGAAATATGTTGACCAAACCACACACTAGAAAGTGAATGGGACGACGACATATCGGTCCGTCCTGGACCATTCTCAAGTTGACTGCGAGAATGTTGCTACCAAAGTGTAGCTACAGAACGAGAGCCATGCTGTTGTGTCCCATCTTCCCAGTACTTTTTTGTCATATGATGCTTTGAAACTCTGAAAGCACCTTCTCACTTAACTTGTTCCACCATAAAGCACTGTTTGCAAAAGTGACCGTTCATTTTTTGCCAGCTTTGCCTTCTTGGTTTGAACCTATGTCCTCTTGTTTTTGAAGTTGCAAATCTCAAAAAAATTTCTGTCAATTCTGTTGATTCCTATTACTATTTTGTACATACTCTATGAGCTCAGTTATCTGAAGCCCGCTGAACAGAATATTTGGGTTGTCTGGATAATTTTTTGGCAAAACTTCTCCATATCCAGACAAAAATCCAAAATAACCACAGATTAGGTTATGTAAATTTTCAAGAACTACACATTTCATGATTACAGTATCAAACAAGACATCAAACTACAACATAAGCTGGTTTGTTTTAAATTACATCTTTTATTTATAGTGTGTGTGTGGAAATTCAAATTTTGTTGGATGAGGTACAAAAAAAATTGCAATTATTATTTTGGACGTCACGGGTAAGAATTATCTGGTGAGGGGTCCTTCCCATGTAGTCCAGACAAGTGAGCTTTGATGGTAGTGGTCATAGCCCCTTTTTTTTCTATCTTTGGTACATTTAGTACCTCTTGCCTCTCTTCATAGCTCTTGTTTCTCAGTTCCAGAAGCCATTTAGTTGCATGTTTTTGCAAATTTTCTAGTTTATTGATATGTTTCTCAAGATATGGGCACCATACAACTGCTGCATATATGTACCATCTTTGGTCTCAGACATGGTAGACAATTTCTGTAATATTGTCATTCATGTATTTAAAAACCATTCTAAAGTTAGAAAGGATAACATACGCTCCTCACAAAACAGTTATGTGGTACTCAAATAGCAGTTTTCAATCCAGAACCATCTCTAGATTTCTTTATCTGAATTCTTTAAAGCTTTTTCACAATTTGTAGGTTGTATGTAACCTATTTTCTATTGCACATTCCATAATTTAACATTTATTCACATTACATTACATTACATTTGCCACATGCTGCTCCATTAGTCGAACCACTAGGACTGGACGGTAGAGCTACGGTCTCGCTTCATGCAGGTCGACGTTCAATCCCCGACCATTCAAGTGGTTGGGCACCATTCCTTTCCCTCGTCCCATCCCAAATCCTTATCCTGACCCCCTTCCCAGCGCTATATAGGCGTAATGGCTTGGCACTTTCCCCTGATAGCTCTCTTCCCTTCCATAAACTTATTTTATCCAGGTCTTCTTGAAGGACACAACAATCATCCTAGCATTGTATCTTCCCTAGTAACTTGGCATCATCAGCAAACATGTTCATATAATTCTTTATTTCTTCTGGTAGATTCTTTATTTAGACAATGAATATTACTGGTGCTAGAACCCTGTGGTACTTCACTAGCCTGGTTCATTATCTCTGATTACTGCCCTCGTTGTTATCAAATATTTTCATCAACATCAGTCACCCTGTCACCCCTCCAGTATGTTCATTTCCAAAACAGCTTCTTATCCGAGACTGCCAAAAGTCGTTTTTAAGTCCGTTTAAATCCAGTCAACCCAACCATCTTTTCCCTATAAAATCACTGTGGCTCTATTATAGAAACTACGTAGATTTGTTACACAAGATCTTCCCTTTCAAAAACCAAACTATATTTACTATTTGTGGCTGCATAATCGAGCTATTAGCTCTACCTCTAGGACCCCCGCCATTCTAGCCAATTTATTTTCCCCCCTATTATGTCTACATATATTTCTCACACACACACGTGCGCACATCCCTAGGAAGCAGCCTGTAGCAGCTGTCTAGCTCCTAGATACTGTACCTATTTACTGCTAGGTAAATTAACATTATCAATGTATACAAGAACAAAGCATTATGGACAAATCCACAAGGGCTGTGACGAGGGTTCGAAAGTACATCCGAGAGGATCCCAGACGCTGCCTTAATTGACTGAGCTACGACATGGTGAAAGAAATGCAACCGGGAAATCATCCTGATTTACCAACGGTTCCTGCAGTCTCTCCAAGACACAAACCAGCATTTTGCGCAATTTCCCCATGTACCCCGAGCTATGTCAATAGACTGTTCTACCTCTTCGCCCTTACATCACCCACAAATCCCTTATGGATTTGTTCATTTGATGCATCACGCTATTGTGATTTCTGTGTGTAAAGCATTATGGCACTGAATAACTTAACTGGTTCTAATACCTGCTCTATGGACTACTGTATATCTCATTAAAATACTCCTCTTAAAAGTTAATCTTTAACAACAATTTATATTTCACTTAATTTTCACACTGCACTTTCCACACACTTATAATTTTGTTGGTGATACATTAACACTAAATTTTCCACAGAGCATGGAGGTGAGAAGCTACTTGAAGCTCTTCATCAAAAAGGAGTTAGAGTGAAGAAGCGCATGGACATCAATTCGTCATATAGACTTTCTTCAGATGGTTATAATCGCCTCCAAAATCTTGCTAAGTCACTTCACCTTAGAGAGTTTTTGTGGCATCAAAACAAAGAACAAGAGATGCTCCAGTGACAAGCACCTGCAGAATCTTACCATCGCCTAGTCTTTACCTGTTCTTGCCATTTTGACAATCAAAAATGGACATCGAGTCCAGTCTCCACCTTCACCATTATTAACAATAGCATGTCTGATTAATAGAGGGGGGGAGAACTAGAAATTTGCCTTTATGATGCAAGATTGGATAATGGGGGTTCTTCCACTGTACTTACTGGTTTTACAGAACAATGATAATCGTATGAATGACATTGCTCTATACAACGGTAATGGACAGTTAAATTATACACGTTAATAAATTATGGTATCTGAAACTAACAAATCAAATTTGTGTTAGTATCAAAAAGAAAAATTCAATTATAATGACCATTGTGGTAATATAAATAGGCACTTTTGTAATACTACTCTAGTCTGTACAATTTATACTTGTCTTGTATATACTGTACTTCAACATTTTTCCCTTTAAATATACCATTTATTTTGTAAGTCGTAACATTTACTTTCCTTATAAAATACTGTACCTTCATATGGTTTTGCATCTTCGGGAGCTTGCAAGTAGTCCGACTTATTTTCTGATCAAACTAATAAAATTACAATGTTAAATCATGATTGTTTCAAAATTTATAACACCTAAAGTCCAGACAAGAGACTGGTGGTGGCCCTTAAAGCACACAGAATGGCAAAGTCAAATTAATACAGCAGTGTGTAGATCATAATGAAAAGGTGAGAGAAATTCTTGTCTTTCCCAAATTGTCATGAATGAGGGGAGAAATATTCATGGCTTTGAATGCTAATCACAAAGAATAGGACACCCACATTTGTTTCCTTGTGGAGTTTAGTTTCATGCCATGTGATTCTTTTTGTGAACTTTTCTTGTTTCTGTTAAGCGTTATAAGATGTTATCTTACCTTGCGTCCGGTCTCTGACCAGGCTTCCTTGTTGGTGGTCTGATCAACCAGGCTATTCTACACTGTTGCTCACAACCTGACAAATATTTATAGTTATCAGGCATCCTTTAGAGGTCTTTATCTTGTTCTTTTGAACACCGTGAGAGGCCGGCCAGCCAGTTATGCCCCTTATGTGTAGAGGAGTCTTGAAAAGCCTTTGGCCCTTAATGTTAACGAGTTCTCTCTTGGCATACCTATTGCACCTCTGACTTTTCAACGGGGCTATTTTGTACATCCTGGCATGTCTCCTGGTCTCATGTGATGTTATTTCTGTATGCAGATTTGGAACCAGTCCCTCTAATATTTTCCAGGTGTAAAATATTCTCTCCTATGCTCTACAGAATACAGATTTAACTATTTTAATGGGTCCCAATAATTCAGATGTTTTATAGTGGATTCTAGATATAAATTTCTAGCAGAAATTGCACACACTCCGGATCAGCAATTTTTCTGGCTTTGAATGAAGCTGTTATTGTGCTAGAATATTACACCCTAGAGAAATGAAAGATTTATATCAATTTGGTATCAAGCAGTAGCCAAGTGCTCGTAGTCTGCCTGTAAACCATTTTGACTAGGGGAGGAAAGTCTGCTTTTTTATACTGTACTGTATGTTTTACAATTAAGAGTGCATTAACAGAGAGAAGTAGCTAACACAAGTTTATTTTGATACTTCTGGCAGTACAGCTACTCATGCTAACCTAGCAATAAGAACTTGCATGTTGCAAGTGGTGACTGCTGTGTAATTGACCGACTAATCTGTTGTATACACAAGTAGTTCACTAGATGCATGTCTATTTGTGGATGGTCAGCTTATAACATTGGTTATATTTTTTGGGCAAACCTTCGTAAGCTGCCTTTCCACAGACCAGTATTTGTACTGTAGAGCTTCTCTGCAATTTCAATTGAAATGAAAACCTTCTGGAAATCTGTAATTACTGTAGATGGTAACATACTGCATGCTCTACTGTTTCAGTTTACCAACATCAAGCAGTTTAGCTAATAATTACAAGAAACTTGTTAACATGCTAATGTATTTTAACATGGGGATAAATTATTTGTACCAGCTGTTTAATGTCTTATTTAGCACTGAAGATAATTAGAAATTGTTATAAAGGCATTCCTGTTCATTGCATATTGATGGCAATATAAAATGAACGTCTTTATTTTCCATTGTAAATACTGGAAAATATAAGCATCACATACATACCTGTACTGATACTGGACCGATTTTTTTTTTTTATAACTAAAATTCTTTCGAGTTTCCTTTGCTATTTTGGACAACATAATATTAATGGTTTGGCATGGTAAATTTGTTTCTTGAATCTCCAGTATTCTATATTTGTTTACAATAGATGTGAGATCATTGAAGTTTCAAGCTTGGCTGGGTATAAATAGCATACTTTTATTAGCCAACAGGCCTATGCAGTTTTAGGCTACTTCCCACCTATAACAACTCAATGCATCTCCATTTATTATTCTTTACTGTTTACATAACATTCCCATCAAGTCTTCTACACTTCCATTTGTAAGAACTTACTCCTAATTTCATCATTCACCAATTTGACCTTTCAATGTACACATTTTTGCCATTTCTATTTTCTTGCTTCCCCACTCACATTTTGAGACAGTATTTGCTTCCCAAAACTTTTTTCTACTAGCTTATCTAACCAAGCAGTTCCTCCTGTTTCTAACCCCTACATTCCCTTGTCATTTCTAACCATATACAGGTATTTCTAACACATCCCACTAAGGTTTATTTTATGTCTTGCAAGATAGCTTTCTTTTGACTTGATTCTTTTACCAACTGGATCTTTAGACAGTCACCCTTACCACAATCTTTCTTACTCATCAACAAATCCAAAAATTTAAGAGCAAACTTCACACCAAAGATGCGAGGAACTCGGATGCTTCAGTCTGTCCTGGACCATTATATCTTTAGCACCATTATTGACTTCTCCAAATCTAAAACTTTTCTATTCACTCCATATTTGACCCATGTACAGTACAGAATATCCTTACACTTAATATTTGTTGGAATACACAAGGGTTCACTTATAATATTTTACCTAGTCCATTCATATTCAAATCACTTATTACAGTATAACTTTTTATGCAAATACACATTATGCTTTTGCTTCTATCCATTTAAAACCCTTATTCCTTACACCCTTTTAAAAATGTAAGTAAGTAATTATCAAAAGAAGGCACCAAACCGGGAAGGCTATGTAGCACCATCAAATGTGCAGAATAATCCGAGGGCACTAAATATCCCCAAGGATGTCAATACAAGAACAAACACATAAGGTGAACGATATCAAAAGTATCAGATTCACCAAGAATTCTATTGAGGGACAAGTGACCACGAGGGATGGTAGGAAAGCAAGACACATTCGTCCTGGAACCCCTTTTAAATAAAAAATATCGCTTTAATCCAAATGTTAATTTTCTCAATTCGAAACCGACCTTTGCTTGTTGGGGTCTATTTATATACACATGGACAAATGCAAGCACTATTTTCAGTGCTTTGAGATATCCAGCTGTGTGAAAGGTCAATTTAACCATATGCTGACACGTATTATACAGTACTGTACATGTACAATTTCCACCAAGCCTCTTAATTTCTTTCTCATTGCATCACATTTGATACAAGGTTCATTTTCAATACATTCTTAAACATTAGCAACAAATAACCACTTTCTGTACTTGATGTATGCACTACTCTACACAACTAATCTACATTAATGTAAACTAACGTGTCAACTTAGTTATGTGCAAGGAGGGGCTGAACTTTAAAATAAAATTGAGCAAACCAAAGGCTAACCACACAAACTGATAAAAATAAAATTAGTTCAAAAGTGTGCATATTAAGAGTGCTTTGCGGCTTAGAAATACTACTTATGAAGTCAACCAATTGATGTTAGTCAAGTTATCTGACCCTGAAACTGGACAAGGATAGCATTGCCCATCTTGATATAGTTAGCTACATCACCATATATCTACACCCTTATGATATACAGGAAGGATATACAAAACACTAAGTACCATCACAAGTTTATTAGGCAATGAACTCGTATGGCAGAGGTGTGAGGAATTCTGGCTCGTGTTCAGAAATGTTCACCTTGTGTGCTGGACGTGGCTGGGCAGGTTGTCTCTTGCACACAACCTTCACACCCTTAGCCTTGGCTTCATGCTTAATGCGGTCATTCTCCTTCACGCGCTTCTTGAAGTCTTCACGGCACCTTGAGTGGGTCAAATGTTCAACGCGCACGTTTAATCTGAAACGTATTATCAATGCGTTATACAACTTTCCGAGCTACACATCTGACATAAGCCTTATTACGCGATTGATTCAAATTTAAAAAAATGCCTAAAATATCAGCAAACCCATAGATGCAAATTTAAAGTTTTTAAGAGCTTAAGTAAATAAAATCTATGCTGAATCCATTGAATCTGAAACCAATACATAACATTTTGCAAAAATGCATTCCAAATAAAAATTTACAAGAAAATACCCTGAACATTACAACACCCTTCATCAGAAATAAATTCTGTAGTTAGCTAATTAGTAAATTTATAAGACAAAGTTCATTTTATAGATGGTCTCCTTCATGAGGCAAATGCAGTGTTTGCAGCCCTAACGGAAACTCACACAAAGGACTACCTTGATGGTGAAATATGGATCTCAGAATACAATCTCTTCAGATGTGATAGGAAACACCGGCTTCAGGGTGGGGTCAGCCTCTACATCAAAGACACACTCATCTGTACTGAGCTGCTAAACACCTCAAATGATATGGTGGAAGTGCTGATAGTCAAAATAGAGATCCTAAATGTAGTAGTTGTCCTTGTATATAAGTCACCGGAGGCAAACCCTCAGCAGTTTAAAGACCAACTAATGAAAATAGAGCACTGCTTGGAAAACCTCACAAATCCAGCTCCGATCATCATCCTGCTTGGGGACTTCAACCTACGGCACCTGAAATGGAAGCACCTGGCTAATACAGTAATATCAGAAAGAATACCAGGAAGTAGCCTAAATGAGCAGGCACATGCAAATGACCTGCTACGGATGTGCGATAGGTTTGCCTTAAACCAGCAAATAGTAGAACCAACTAGGAAGGAGAACACGCTGGACCTCATTTTCACTAATAATGAGGAGTTGATCGGGAACAATGATTACAAATACCTGTTACTCAGATCACAACTTAATTGAGGTACTGACAACCATGGGGAATGGACCTCCAAAACCAGTCCAGATTCCCGGTGGAGGAGATTTCAGCAAATTCAACTTCAATAATTAACGGATAAACTGGGAGCAAATAAACCAGGACTTCACAGAAATAAACTGGGAAGAACAGCTAGGAAATGCAAACCTGAACCAGTGCCTGGAAAAAATAAGCTCAGTAGCACTAGAGATATGTTCAAACCGCATACCCCTAAGAAAAAAGAGAAAAGAGATGCAGATTGGAACGGGAACGTCGTTCCCTATATAGGCGAAGAAAACGAATCGCGGAACAACTTGAGTCGCACCCTATCTCAAGAACGGCGAAGAAGGTTAGGTAGAGAAATAGAAACAATTGAACTCAAGCTACAAGAATCATACAAAACCCAGGAGAGGCAAAGAGAGCAAAAGGCCATCAGTGAAATAGAGAGAAATCCGAAATATTTTTTCTCCTATGCAAAATCAAGATCAAAAACCACATCTAGTATCGGGCCCCTGCGAAAGGGAGATGGAACTTTCACAGATGACAACAAAGAAATGAGCGAGTTACTGAGGAAGCAGTACGACTCTGTTTTCAGTGAGCCATTAAATGCACTAAAGATTGATAACCCAAATGAATTTTTCATGGATATGATACCAACATCAAATCATATATCAGACGTCGCCCTATCCCCACTAGATTTTGAAGAAGCCATAAACAGTATGCCTATGCACTCTGCACCAGGCCCGGATTCTTGGAACTCCATATTCATCAAGAACTGTAAAAAAACACTATCGCAGGCCCTTCACATTCTGTGGAGACAAAGCCTAGATACTGGCGTTATCCCTGACATACTAAAAACAGCAGAGATAGCACCACTCCATAAAGGAGGAAATAAGGCAGAGGCAAAAAATTACAGACCGATAGCACTAACATCGCACATCATAAAAATTTTTGAGAGAGTGCTAAGAAGTAAGATCACAAAATACAAGGAATCACAGCATCTCCATAACCCTGGACAACATGGTTTCAGAACAGGGCGCTCTTGCCTGTCGCAGTTGCTGGACCACTATGATATGGCATTAGATGCTATGGAAGACAAACAAAACGCTGATGTAATTTACACAGATTTTGCAAAAGCTTTTGATAAATGTGACCATAGTGTTATTGCACATAAAATGCGTTCAAAAGGAATTACCGGGAAAATAGGCAGATGGATCTACAATTTCCTGACTGACAGAACCCAATGTGTAATAGTCAACAAAATAAAATCCAGCCCATCAACCGTGAAGAGCTCAGTCCCCCAGGGTACTGTGCTTGCTCCAGTACTTTTTCTCATCCTCATATCGGACATAGACCAGAACACAACCTATAGCACTGTATCATCCTTTGCAGATGACACTAGGATTTTCATGAGAGTTGGCAACATAGAGGACACGGCAAACCTCCAATCAGATGTAGATCAGGTCTTTCTATGGGCTACAGAAAATAATATGGTATTCAACGAGGATAAGTTTCAGCTCATGCGCTACGGAAAAATTGAAAATATAAAAACAGAAACCACGTACAAAACGCAGGCAAATCATAACATAGAACGAAAAGGCAATGTAAAGGACCTGGGTGTACTCATGTCGGAAGACCTTACCTTTAAAGAACACAATAAAGTAGCCGTCACAACTGCAAGAAAAATGACAGGTTGGATAACAAGAACTTTTCACACTAGAGATGCTATACCGATGATGATACTTTTCAAAACGCTTGTGCTCTCTAGAGTGGAGTACTGCTGCACAATGACAGCCCCTTTCAAAGCTGGAGAAATTGCTGACCTGGAGAGCGTGCAGAGATCCTTTACTGCTAGAATCCACTCAGTAAAACATCTAAATTACTGGGACCGACTAAAGAGCCTAAATCTGTACTCCCTTGAGCGCAGGCGGGAGAGATACATAATAATTTACACGTGGAAAATAATTGAGGGGCTGGTCCCAAACCTGCACACAGAAATAACACCACATGAGACCAGAAGACATGGCAGGATGTGCAGAATACCCCCGTTGAAAAGCAGAGGTGCAACAGGTACTCTGAGAGAGAACTATCAACATCAGAGGCCCGAGACTGTTCAACACGCTTCCACTACACATAAGGGGCATAACTGGCAAACCCCTCACAGTGTTCAAGAGAGAACTGGATAAGCACCTCCAAAGGATACCTGATCAACCAGGCTGTGACTCATACGTCAGGCTGCGAGCAGCCGCGTCTAACAGCCTGGTTGATCAGTCCAGCAACCAGGAGGCCTGGTCGACGACCGGGCCGCGGGGACACTAAGCCCCGGAAGCACCTCAAGGTAGCCTCAAGGTAGGCATAACCCAAGCAAAACAAACTGAAAAGTTATAATACAGAGGAACCTCGGGTGACGAGCAGCTCCATCAACAAGCATTTCAGGTAAAGCGCGAGCCACTTATGGAAAATTTGTCTTGACGAGCTTCCGCTCTCAACAAGAAAACCACGTGGTGCGGTTCTCGCAAATTTTTGGCCAAATTCAATTTTTCAATTACAATTGAAAACTGTAAAACAAAATATTTATAATAATTACATGTATTATACTGTAATTACATTATAAAATGTTACCTGGTTGATGGGGTTCTGGGAGTTCATCTACTCCCCAAGCCCGGCCTGAGGCCAGGCTTGACTTGTGTCAAGCCTGTGTTAGATTGATGTTTTTCAGCAGTGGAATAGATTAATTTTATTTCCATTATTTTAAATGGGGAAATTCATTTCGCAAGATGAGCGTTTCACATGATTAAACGGCACGGATTAAATTCGTTAACCGAGGCTCCTCTATTTTGAAATATGCAATTGCAACGTAATAAAATTATGTACTAGGTACAGTATTCTGTACTCCTCTCTCCAAGAGATGTGGCCAGCATGGGAAAGCTACAAACAATTACTCATCTTACACTTCCTGTAAACCCTACTGTACTGTATGTGAAGAGCAAAGTCAGTTATTGTGGAAGTTGTTCCATCAGAGGATTATGAGACAAAGCCTCATATTTCAGTCTGTTCAAGGCTTCAACAAACAGCAGTAATCATGGGATGCTAATGAACATTTGACACCAAAAAAGTTACCAGTACAGTATCTAGTGTAAAAACTTTCCACCATAGTGACTTCTAATAAAATAGCTTAACCAGACAAGTCATTTTAAGAAGGTTTTCATGCGAGGTTAAATAGGTCTTGCCACATGCTCGGTTTGTACTAAAAATAGTTAAAAGACTTCTGGAAAATGCTACAGGTATGTTGCACAACCAGAAACACACACCAAAGCAACCCCACACCTACCCATGAAACCAATGCATAGAACACATCAAAATTACCGTGCTTTAATTTATGTAATCAACCAGTCGGTTTGTAATGGACTGGTTTGATTCAATAAAAAAATGAGATTAGGCAAGATGTGGGCTGCTGGATTATTGACCAAGCACAACAAACCTCAAGACATAATAACCATACCTCTTGGCAAGGATCTTGCCCTTCACCCTCTTGTTGACAATGACGCCAACGGCATGCTGGGTCACGTTGAAAATACGACCAGTTTTACCATGGTAACACTTATGAATGAGGCCCTTCTGGAATGCTCCATTACCCTGAAATATAAAATTGGCATTTCAAAACAAAATATGATATTAGTCCATTTCATGACTAATTGTATGGGAACCAAGAAACCCAGCCACTTTAGTTGAATAACTTTGGCAAGGTTAATCCCAAATTTTAATTTGATAATCAAGTCGCATGAATGTGCAATAGTCAGGCTTCTTCCCCTTCCCCTTCTTCTGTTCTTAAATTAATGCTCGTAATGTCTATGTATGAAAGATTATTATTCTGCAAATTAAACTTGCAAAAACCAATTGAACACACCTTCAAGTCCACAATGTCGCCAACTCTGTACACTTTCAAGAAGGTAGACAGGTGCTCAACACCATTCTTCTTGAAAGGCCGCGCAAACATGTTGCGCGTACCACGCCTCAAGCCCTTTGGGTTCGTCATCTTGGTTTATCTGAGAAGAAATTAGAGATTAAAATCTACAAGTACAAAAATGCCTCATTCTTACATCTTTATATAAAGTACAATTAACTTTGGTAGTGTTTGGTTAGACAATACAGATAAATAATATTAAGACTGCAAGGGGAAAGGTGTATAGTTTCCAGCATACTTCTGATCAAATATGACTGGATAGTAATATTGGAGACTGTTGCAAGTTATTCTTTATATACATTTTCAAGATGTAAAATATAAGGTGTATACTTTCACAGATTGGAGATCCAAAATTGCAGAACGGTTAAGATACAGCTTTAATGAACATTTATGTTAAGCACTGGTAATCAGTAGGCGAAACCTAGTATAACATCAGATACAGTCATTCCCAGCATTATGCATTATCCTCCAATAATATATCTTATGTTGAGAAAAGTTCAGCCATAAATAAAAAATAGTTTTACTTCTAGACTCTTGTCCAGACATCTGGCCTGTTAAAAAAGGAATGTTGCCCCTGGAAGCTGCAGTCGAAGCAGTAGAGGAAACGGCCCTATGCATTAGGCCTAAGGTAATGAATCACAAACCACTAAGCATGACTACTAAACAGCCAAGAAATAGTTCCTGTTCAAGGTGCACATCGAGATAAATACTACATACAAAATGAGGACATTCATTAAAAATTGAAAACCAAAAGGTTTGAAATTATATATAGATCTATACTTCCTTGGCATTTATCTTTTGTTTGTAATTACGATATTCAATACACTAGGAATATTTATATCCCGGTATAGTTAATAGTTATCATGGCCATATTTTTTACGGTACCAATAAATGGAAGTCAGTCATACTACTGTACATAGTATACCACAAGCAATTTTTTTTAATGGAAACTAGAGAACAGGCTCCATGTCTGGGCACTACACTACACTTCCATTGTCTCCATGTTATTAAGGGCGCCTAACAGCTGAGTGGACATTGCTTCAGATTCGTAGTCCTGAGGATCCAGGTTCGATCCCTGGTGGAAGTGGAAACAAATGGGCAGTTTCTTTCACCCTAATGCTCTGTTCACCTAGCAGTAAATATGTACCTGGGAGTTAGACAGCTGCTACGGGATGCTTCCTGGGGGTGTGTAACAAAAAGGAGGCCTGGTCGAGGACTGGGCCGCGGGGACGCTAAGCCCAGAAATAAAGATATCCTCAAGATGTTACATACTAAAATACTTTCTTCAAAATATTTCAGCCCATTTAGCCCCATATACATTAAGTATATCACCGGGATGAAAGTGAAGCAGTTAAGGCAAGACATTTTATTATTTAGAGTATGTTGATGGCTAAACACACACACACACACTACACAACACATGTCTGACCATAATGCCAGCAAAATACTTGCTGTTCCCAAGAAACGTAGGCCTTCAATACCAGTATATATGCAGTATAGTGTTTGCATACTATAGGCTTAGATGCAGTTGATAATGGTCCAGGATGGACCAAGTGTTGTAAATTCTTCCAGTTTCAGATTAATGGGTTGGGCCTCTTTTTTAGCCTCATAACTAACAGACTATACATGAAACAGAAGTGAACAAATCCACAAGGGCCATGATGAGGGTTCGAACTTACATACGGGATGATCCCAGACGCACCTTAGTCGATTGTGCTACGACACGTTAAAAGAATTGCAACCGTGAGTGCTACCGACCTCTCATGGATCCCGCAGCCTCTCCGTGACATACTGGTTTTATTTTTTTACACAATTTCCCCCCATGCACCCGGGCTCAAATCAGGAAATTGTGTAAAACCCCAGTTTGTCTCGGATGCTGCAGGATCCATGAGGTCAGTAGCACTCGGTTGCAATTCTTTTCCCATGCCGTGGCACAATCGACTTAAACACTTTAGAGCGCTCGCAACGGTCGAGAGCATTACCAATTTTTCTCTCGAGTCTGCGCAACGGACTCGCTCACGAGTCACGAGAAAAAACATTTCTATAAAATCCATTTTTTAATCAATCGACTTGGGGATAGTTTAAAAATGTAATTACCCAAGTGTAGTTACAGGATGAGAGCTACGCTCGTGGTGTCCCGTCTTCCCAGCACACTGTCATAACGCTTTGAAACTACCGACGGTCTTGGCCTCCACCCTCTTCTCGCCTAACTTGTTCATTTTTCTTCTTCACATTTTTCATTCATGTGCGCCATGAAATTTGTTTTCCCTAATAGCCACATGGCCTATTTGGGAGAACGGCATAGCATTCCATCACGTTGTAATTTTATTTTAAACGTTATACTTATGTTCATCTAGAACATTCTATTGTGCACACATCGCTACAAAAATTAAATACGTACATCGAAAATTAAGGTCAGAACAGTGAAGAGTATACACTTTTCAATAGGGGTCTCGCCGATGTGCCGTCGGGTGTGCGGTAACGGGTAACACTTGGGCCACTTCCCACACTCTTGTGGGTGGGCTACGACATTGATTCAACATTTATTTCCATATGTCCGCGTAGGTAATTTTATTGCGATCTCAGTGGTACCAAATTTAACGCTGTAGGACAAATGTGGAGTTGACAACCCTGAAAAAGAGTAGAAACATTTCGTCGCTGTTTGGCGCTCACGGCTAGTGATCGATGTAGTTCTTTATTTGGTGTTGGTCAAACTCATACTTTGGTGATGTTTTATACGTACTGTATGTTCTTCTAGAACTTTCCTTTCCAAACACATTGCTACAAAAATGAAATACGTACATCGAAAATTAAGGTCAGGACAGTGAAAAGAATACACACTTTCCAGTGTTGCTGCACGATCGCCCGAAACGCTATGCGCACAAGGGGCAAGTTTTTTTTTCGCTCGCCGGGCGCTCGAAAGCATTAAGGCGCACACGGGATCATCCCCGACGTAGGTTCAAACCCTCATCACGGCCCATTTGGATTTGTTCATTTGATGCATCACGTTATTGTTATTTGTGCGTGTAATGAACACCAGTGTTGCTCAAGCTTAACTGATGCACACTACACACTGGCTCTTCAGTCTGAGTTTTGAACCAAAGCTTACTGTGCTGTCTCAGGGACAGGAAGACTACATGTACTGCTAGGTGGACAGGGGCATCAGGTACAAGGAAACACGCCCAAACATCACGTCCTGCCCGGGGAACACTACTACACCTGCTTCACCGCCACAATACAATACAAGTCATCAAGTTCCACGCTAGATCCTTGTGAAAATATTAAAAGTTTAATCCCTAAACTGATTCCAGTTAACTTCTTGGACCCTCATCCAAACTTATCAACAAGAATTAAGCTACACAATATTAGTGACGCGACACATTAGGGATACCAGACGCTCTCTTCACACCTGTCTAACTCTAGTGACGATCCCAGCTAGATCCCCCCACCGGGGCAAGTGTCCCTCCACCTGATGCATCTGTTCACCTAGTAGTACCCAAGTGTGGTGGGGGGCAACACCCTAGGGGGTGGGAGGGTCGCTACTTCCACTTTCACGAGACAGCCATATAACCCATATATATACACTGGCTCCCTGTCCCGACCACCGGGTGTTTACCTACATGTGAGGGTAAACAACACGGGTCTTACACACACGTGCACCACCAACTCTCTACTCATTTCCCCGACAATTCCCACCCAGACTCGGCCACAGTCGCCCGGCAACAGACAGCAAGAGGTATTAGCGCCCACCTGCGAGGCGGCCGTCGAGGACAGGGCCTGCGGAGAGGGTGAAATAAGTGATAAAGTGTGGAGGAGGCGGCGACAATGGCTACTCACTCGTGTCACTCCCGGGAAAGACTCGTCCTACGGCGCTTGTCTCGTACACCGCCTCTTCGTACCACACGCTTCGTATAACCACCTATATTTTGAAGACTGTCTGCTTAGTATTTTGTTAACTGTCTTGTAAAATACAATAATAATAATAAAACGCTCTAATTGTTTTTAATATACATCATTGGCTAAGTTAGATTAGATTTTGTAATTATATGAGAACAATTTATACGAAACGACTTAGTTCCAAGCAGAGCCATCTGGCGCCAAAACTGAAAACTAATGCGACAGCAAATCACTATGAAAAATAAAATTAACATACTTAAGAATTACATACAAATACCAATTAATAATTCATTTTTGTCTAACCAACATATATATATTTTGTGATATTTATTCATTTTTGATGGGGTTGAGAGCGGTGGATGGCGGTGATGGCGGACGCTGCTTGTGTAGGTAAACCCTCCAGCTGATCCGCCGAAGTGATCATTGATAAGAATTTCCTCAACGCCCTTCAAGACGAGAAAACTTGTACAATCTGGATCTGTTGGGATATTGTAAGATGGTAAGAGTGTGTGGGGCGGCGAAGAGGGTGGCTAATGGCGGCGGGGCGGGGAGTATTAGGGGCCCGGGGCACACGGACCTTCACCTCTCATTACACAGTCGCGGAATTTCCTGCACTCGACGTTTGTCTCATTAAATGTCGGTTTAAAATGAGTGATGTGTGTAGCGGTGTTGTATACCCTGGGTACCCTAGGTATACTGGGTACACGGCGAGCGTCTCGCATGACGGGTTGGTGCCAAACGTCCCATGTACCAAGTTGGTGATTTATTTTGTATAGTTCAGTAATTCAGTGAAGCTTTTCATTAGATATTTACCTGAATTTACCTGGATATAATTAACAAATATATATATTTCCTGTTTTGTAACCATTTAGCACACACTATAAAACTTGCTAAAGCTACATTGCACATTACAATGCCAGTGTAATCTATTTTATGTTCGGTGATCTGGATCCAGTTAAAATGCCTAATATCTACATTACGTTGTATGTTAATTATTTTGTAGACTCACATTACATGTTAAGTTACATGGCGGTAGGTCAGTTTGTTACAAGACTGCTTGCAATAGGTTTTTAAAAGTCTACCTTGACTAACTCGGCCAAACCTAACATTATATACGAAGAAAATGAGCTTTGTCTGGACACCTATCTATGATTTAACTGTACTGCCAGGTAATGTTCGGTTTTAGAATTTATACAAAAATGTTTGTGTGAAGTTCCCTGTATCCTCCCACACTATATAGCACACAGGGTCTTGTAGTGCAGTTGGCTTCATTCTTAACACACACTCGGAGGAGGGGGGAGGATTCTGAGTACAATTTCAGGATGAGACAGAAATGTTTATACATATTTCCTTTCACTTAATGACTCTGTTCGCCTAGCAGTAAAAGGGTACCCAGGAGTTGGGCAACTGTTGTGGCGTTTCACCCTGGAGAGGGTTGGTAGTTTGGGGAAGTACAAGCCTAATATATATACAGTATATATATAATATATGCACACATACATGCATGCTTCCCGTCCCCAACAACATAAATTAATTAAGTTAACCTTCAAATTTATTAAACTTGACCTAAGATATATTGATAGGTGTTCAGTAAGAAAGATGATACCCAAGCTTCAACATAAACCAATTTATGAAATAGTACAGCAATCTTGAATCTGAAAAAATCTTTAACATTGTACACTTAAACATAGCAGTCAACAATGGCTTTAAAATCATAATAAAAAAAGAATCTGAAGTACTGTTCTTCAAGTGGCAGACATGCCTATAATAGCTTATCAACTTATAAAATAGAGAGTAATGCTATGTATATACAGTACCAGAAGAAATAATTAAGTACTTGCCTTCAATTCAATGTTCTTCATTGTTTAAACCTCGATAAATTGCCATACAGTTTAATGGTCTGCTGCTGTTAGAATGTAATTCATTGAAAAGTTATATACTATGAGTGTACAAAAAGTTACAAGCACAAAGATCTTTAAAATTAAAAATTTATGGATGAAACAACCAGCATATAAAACTTGCCTCAATTTACCTGAGGGCTACTATCTCCCTAGTGGTCTCAATTGGGACAGGAAAACGGGGGTTTGTCAAAGGTCCCTTCTCCGTTGTTCCTGAGGATTGCTTATACAGTATATGCATTTTAAAGTAATGTCTTGTCATATACAGCTTTGATGGGTAGGCAGTTCCATGGGTTTATAACTGAAAATGTATCTCCTGTTTTCTATCCTACATTGTGGCTTGTTGAACCTTTTAAAGGAGACGGGTCTGGATTCATATCGTTCAACTTGTTCAGTATTTTAAAGGTCTTGATGAGATCAGGCCTGTCATCAGGCCTGTCATGTCTGGTTTGCATAGTCCTGTAGCCCTCAACTGTTCTTGATATGAGAGTTAACTTAATTCTGAAAAAATATTTTTGTTACTCTTGTGTTCAACTTTTTCCGAAGTATCTTATCTTGAGGTTATCTTGAGATGATTTCGGGGCTTTAGTGTCCCTGTGGCCCGGTCCTCGACCAGGCCTCCACCCCCAGGAAGCAGCCCGTGACAGCTGACTAACACCCAGGTACCTATTTAACTGCTAGGTAACAGGGGCATAGGGTGAAAGAAACTCTGCCCATTGTTTCTCGCCGGCGCCTGGGATCGAACCCAGGATCACAAGTCCCGCGTGCTGTCCGCTCGGCCGACCGGCTCCCCCAAGTAGATATATCCTTTTGAAGGCTAGGTCTCCATACTTGGATACAGTTGAGATAGACCCTAATATAGATAAATAACCACTTTTTTCTCTAAAACCAAAGGTTCATTTGATTATTCTTAAGTTTTCTTGTAATGTTAGTGCAATGTTAAATTAGTGATGGGACCTAACTCCTGGGTTCTCTTCATCATCAGTCAACTGCATAGTAGTGTTGTCGATATGATAGATGTGATGTGCAATGTTATGATCCATCTACATGCAAGGTCTTCTATTTTTCAATACAGTATTGAAAAGCATTTGTCAGTCTTCAGACCATTTTGTGGAGTTCATATAGATCTCTTTAAGATCTTCATAGTTTCTTTTTGCTGTTGTACTTTTTTTTTTATACTATTGAGCATGCCTGGCTCTATTTCATCTAGAGAGTATGCCTTGGAACACCTAGCACATAGATTCGACTCTTCATTACTGCTCCTAACCCCTGTGATTGGTTCAAATCCACTTTGTGTTGTTGTGTAATAACATGCACTGATAGTATCATAAGTGATCTTATATGTTGCAAAGTTGTAAATTAACCAATTGTCGTTATTTTCAGGAGTGATCTGTACAGAAAAACATGTACAGTTCACATTAAAATAGCTGGATAGTTTATTCAATTAAATCCATTGCCAATGGCATTTTTTGTACATATAACATTTACCATTGATAAAAATCCGCACATTAAGAGGTACCTACCCAAATTAATTTATCTTTATGCAATATATCTCTTAGTACATGTGGACACAATACTGTACTCAGACCAGTTCATTATCCATCATGTAACATCTCTACACATGTTTAGTTTACTCTTATATATGTATACTTCAGTTTCTCTAATGATGGTAATGCTTTCCTTGTGTAGGGCGCTAATGCCTCGCAGCTGGAGAAGGAGATAGGGGCTGACCAGTTCCCTCCAAATGAACACTACATCGGCCTTGTAAATGTAAGTACTCGGGTAATTTGGTATTAATTAGTGAAGATCACAAAATATACTGTAAAGCTAATTACAGTATTTGTAAAAGGTTTGCAAATCTGTAGGTGTCATATTGTAAATGTGTGTTTTTCTCGTAAATAATACCAAACAACAGTGAAGTTAGCAAGAAAGTTGTGTTAAGATACATTTCTGTTCATTGTGTACAGTTATGTAGAGTATATAGAACTGGATGGTTTTTAAAGGATAACTGAGGAGTGGCAGGCTTTATTATATCTAAGACTAGGTAATGTACTAACAGTACTAGAAATGTTTGTTCGCGGCTGGGATCGTATTCCAGGGACCTGCCCGAAACGCTATGCGTACTAGTGGCTGTACAAGAATGTAACAACTCTTGTATATATCTCAAAAAAAAAAAAAAATCTGGTTGAGCAATTAATTTTAATTAAGAAGTGAGGATAAAGGGAGGTGATAGAACACAGCAAGAGCATGGTGGTTGTGTACTGACAAGACAAGAAGAGTGGTAAGAGCGGCCATTACTGTAGGTGCTTGTTGAGCATTACTTTACTGTTAAAAGCAGCTAGATGGTGTTTGAATTACAGTATGTTTTCTCCTCTATATTTCAACCACTGTAATACAAAAAATAATTGGCTGGTAAAGAAATAATATTGCATTTTAAATGTAACATATTTGCTGTATACTGTATACAGAAATGCAGAAGCTAATATTGCTCAGAAATAAGGAAATCTGGCACAATAAAAATGTAGCCAATGGGACTATTATACCTTACAAAGTTGTGTATGGTAACACTTACAGCAAAGAGAGGAGAAATTAGAAACCAAAAATCAGTGGTCGGTGCAGTCTGCTAGCAACCAAAGGGTTCCGAGTACAATTTTTATGCAGGATGAACTGTTTGGGCATGTTCTCTTACACCTGATGCCTCCGATCACCTAGCAATAAATAAGTATTGTACCTGGAAATTAAGGAAACTGTTGTGGGTTGCATCCTGGGAAAGATCGGTCATAGACTTAGGGTTTACTGTCCGCAATAATGGAAAACCAAAAAGAGATTTTATTGGGAGTGTGGTGGACCTTCTAGAATCCAGATTCGTGAATCTGGATTCATATTTCCTAATAATTGCCTGGTGATGCAGAGACTGCCAAATTCTATCAGGCCCTTGGAATTGCTCACCCTACTAAAAAGTACAGTCAGAATCTGGTTCACTCATCAATTCAAACAAATAATTTCCAGAGTGATTGTTCAAATTACAGTTCAACATAATATGTGGGGATTGCTGGAATGCTTTAAGTGAAGGATAGAAATACTGTATATAAGGATGAATTTGGATGGGTATAAATAATAGATTTGGATAAATAAATAGAAATGCTGCTTCACCTGAGGGAACAGGATTTTGAATCCCAGGCAGTGGGAAATCCATATGTTGTATTGACATTGTCTATTGCCCCATACTTTATAGCAGAACTTTAACAATGCATTATTACTGTCTTATTTTGAGTTCTCTGTGTTTGAACTAATCTGTGAATTTTTCAGTTTGGCAACACGTGCTACATTAACTCAGTTCTCCAAGCGCTGTATTTTTGCAAGCCTTTTCGGGAAAAGATCTTGGAATACAAGGCCAAGAATAAGCGCACGAAGGAAACACTCCTAGCGTGTCTCGCAGACCTCTTCTACAATATTGCAACACAGAAGAAGAAGGTTGGCAGTATAGCCCCAAAAAAATTTATTGCCAGATTTAGAAAAGAAAACGGTGAGCATCTATTTAACTGTGTTATAATTGATGGATGGGTTTTTCTGAGACAGTGGACTCTTGGTCAAATGGGATGATTGGTTTTTACCCTTCCAGTCCACAAGAATGGCTGTTGCATCTGGTCTCTTTCTATTTTTGTCAAAAATTATGTTTTATTAGTGCATATGATAGAACACACTTATGCATATATTATTTTGATAACAAAGTCATTAGAGATAAAGCATAAATTTGATAATAAAAAATAATATTTTGTTAAATAGTTTTAACCCCCTTGTTAAATGTTGACAACCCTGTGGTGCACAAAAAAAATATTCTGCAAAAATTAATTTTTCTTTTAACATGTTAATTAGCAGCTATGAAGCACAAAATTTCAAGTAAAAAGTCTTTATTTCCTGTAGATGTCATAAGACTCATTCAAATCCAAAATTGTCCCCAAATATTTACCTCACAGAGAAGGGAAATCTGTTAAATTTCAGTACCCAGTATCAGGAGTTCACTATACAGTATTTACCTTTTGCCGTTTAAGCTTTTTGTGCCATCTCCTTCAAACTCGGGTACTATATTAATTTTCCGTACACGTATAAATAGAATATTTCTTACAAATCAATTAACAAACTTTTTAAAAAATAAGTTTACGAACTATGATCTTGTTCTGAGTGATTTGTTTATTTTTAACAGTTAAGTTCGACAACTACATGCAGCAGGATGCCCACGAATTCTTTGTTCAGTTGATAGACAGCATTAATGAAACTATCATAGGTAAGATTGTGTTTGTATACTAGTATTATGTCTGTCATCTGTCTGTCTATGTCTGTCATACATGATATCAAAATTCTTTCATTATCACACACATACCTTCATGCCATGCACACTCCCTTCTTCATTCTCCCTCCCTCTGTATGTCTGTTAGTTTTTATATAGTGATGGGGGGGGGGATTATTTTAAAAATAAAAATAATGTGATCCTGCTCTTTGATGTATACCCACCTAGGCACCAGGATACTTCCCTTGATCAGCTGCTATTTAAATATATCTACAGGACTTTGTTTTTAGTTAGTGATGAGATTTTTGTTATGAACATAAAAGATGTACTATATGTAGTGCATTGTAGATGTCATCCTTACAATTTACCTCATTTGCAATGCAGAGAAACAGTTGGCAGGTCGAACAAGACAGCAGGGTGGGGAGTGTGACCATCAAGCAGGCCTAGGAGGGCAGCAAGACAGCGGAGGTGGAGGGGGAGGCGGCGGGGGTAACAACCAGCAACAGGACAATACGTGGGTTCACGAGATATTTCAGGCAGTCGTCACCAGAGAACTCAAGTGTCTTAACTGTGAAGCTGTAAGTACAGATATGGAATCGCTGATGAATACAAGCAATATGGTACAGCATCACCTTGTGTGGTACAGGACCCCTTGACTCTTTTCTAAAGCATGTTTAGAAAAGATACTCTAAGCTACACAAGATTATGTTTTAGTACAATACCCAAGACGAGCTTAAATAAAGTTATCTAACCCTAGCCATACTGTCATGGGCCATCGCATTGGCTGATTCAGTTGACTTATAATGCTTCATTACATTCACTCATCTGAAGCCCAACACCTCAGGTGAGTGAACCTCTCGGACTTCACGAAGCATTATCAAACTACTGAACTGGCCAATGTTTGTTCATTTGAACTTTCTCCATCCTTGACTTCAACATCCCTCTCACCAGGAGAATAAAGAAAACATGACTCATGACTACATATGCAATATCTCAACATAACCTTCATATATGTATATGTATGTGTGTGTGTATATATAAAATTTTCTTACTATTACAGGTTCGAAGCACAGATGAGGTGTTAAATAACTTGTCAGTGGAAGTACATCAAAATACGAGCATCACGTACTGTTTGCGGTGTTTTTTCTCCACAGAAACTATTAGTGCAGAGAACAAAGTGCAATGTGAGAATTGTTGTTCCCTCCAAGAACACCAGGTAATAAGTTGCATTTGTTATAAACAATTGAGTCTTAATTATGTAGCACAGTACTGTGCTGTACTACCTTAGGGGAGAGAACAGCCAGGCCATTTTCACCCTTTCCTCACACTTGATGGGAGTATCTTGAGACTATTGACCCCAGTGTAAAAAATGCTGGTGCTTTATTAACAAATAAATAAGCAAAACCAATAATATTGACAAATCTTTAGACTGATGAACGTTCACTGTGATAGACTGAGTGGGGTGCCAAGGTTTGCATGCTTTTTTACGACACTTTCCACCTACTGGAAGCATGTTCTGTGTCACACTGACACTCTTCCCACCCTCCTCTTTAAGAAAAGGAGAGTGAATTAAGATCAGAGATCAAACTCAATAGTGAGATGAACTGCCCTCTAAAAATTAAATCACAAAACCTAAATCTATCTCCAAGAATGTTTGGCAATTCAAACACTATCAAACAAAAAACTGGAAACAAGTCTCATGGTCCTTCTCTTGACCTTCACTGAGTGCACCACCACTTGCTACTCTGCAATGTTTTCTCCGCTTCCACGTTCCATCTGCCATGAATATGGTTTCTGACTTTCATTCTTGTTTCTCTACTCTACAGGCATGTAGCAAAGTTTTCCCTGACTTTTATGATTGGCAAACCAATTTTTTTAAATTACTGTTCTGTATTATTAAGTATAACTTGATTAATCTGGATAAATGTACACTAGGGGATATCTGATAAATTAATAAGGTCAGTTAAAATTATTTCTGCACAATTAAAAAGTATCATTTTATGACACTTAACATAATCATTATCATTTATAATAAAGTTTAACAGGGTAATTGAGAGCAAACATGCATTTTTTGCAGCCAGGTGCCAATACACTTGCTCTTTTTTTTATGCCGCAATACAATAATTAGGAAAATAGAACTCTAATTGTTATTCCAAAAATGACATCTTTGTACAGTTCGCTGTAAAATATCAACACATATCCAGAAATTTTTGACTTATATTGTAATGACCTGGAGGCTATCGTTATATTTTGGTTAATATTTCAAGTTTTAAAGGCTGATTATTAATGAGTATAGACTAAATAAAAAAAGACCGATATGGGTTTCAGTATATTGCACTGTATAAAGCACTTGTTTTAAATTAGTAAAATAAGATAGAATATAAGCCCATGACCAAATGCTGAGACTAATGTCAGTGAAATGTAAAACTCTAAAAGTCACGTTTTATCGTAGCTTTAATTATTTATACGAGCGAAATTTGTTTCCAAGACAAACTGTGGAAGTGAGAAAAAGACAAAAGAATCACGTTCTTTATTTTGTATTTGAATACTGTATGCAGTATTTTTATTTTGTTTGTTTTCAGAAACGTACAAGGGTCAAGAAGTTACCAACTATACTAGTCCTCCACCTTAAGAGATTCCAGTTTTTGGGTCAGTATAACCGCACGCTCAAGTTGTCACACAGGGTCGTGTTTCCATTAGAACTACGAGTCTTGGACACGGTGAGTGATAACACTTTGTATTTTGCTCTATATCATCGTATGTGATGCTCAGCTGAGGGACTAAAATGTATTTTTCAAGTCAAACATCTTAGGTGTAACAGGTCATGTTGCTGACTTTTTGTTAGTTAATCTTTTGCTCCTCTTAAGTAGAGAGCACGCCTCTGGTGGAAAGGGCTGTACTTGTTTAACCCCTTACAGGTGGTTATTGCTATTACATAAAGGCAATTTTGATTAAAATGGGATTCATTTAAAGATAGGGCCTACTCATATTTACCTAATGACAGAACCATCTGCCAAATGGTTTAAGATTTTATTGAAATACTGTATTTCTAACAAAATGTCAGGATAGTATTTTTATGCGTAATGCACCCAAGTTAATTGGGTATATTTTAAATCAGAGATAACACATTTATACATAGCAAATTTGTATTTGTTGAATACTCATGACATCCATTACTAATTTCAGAGCACAGATGCTGTGAACCCTGACCGCCTGTATGACCTGGCTGCTGTTGTGGTTCATTGCGGCACAGGCATAAACAGAGGCCACTACATAGCAATTGTCAAATCACACAGATTCTGGCTACTCTTTGATGATGATGCTGTTGATGTGAGTATTTTGAATTTGAAATTAATTTGGTGTCCATTTTTTCTGAAATACTGTTTACAGGGATGTTTTGCCTAATGAGAGAGTGATTTCTAACCTTCCCAGGGCATGTTCTTCAAATTAATCTGTATTTGACCACAATTAATGTGTTCCTAATGGAGTAAAGAACAGAATGAGCAATTTTGCATCAAGTAAAGTTTCTAATCATCGGCCACTTAAGTTTTTGTGATGGCTTTCTATGAGACCTTATGGTATGGTTTTAAAATCAACTATGAAATTATACCACAAACTGATATGTAAATCAATATTAACTGAGATACTGTTTCAGTATTGACTGAAATATGTCACTGTATATTATAATCTATATTGTGCTAACCTTCCTCTCAACTAATGTACAACTCTTCCAATACCTTCTGAAGAAACATGGTACCCGCAGGTCCATAATTTTAATGGTAATCCACCAGCGTCAGTCATCCAACTGTTCAGTGGCTGTTATCATGAGAATCTGATAAAGATGTTTTACTATACAGTGCTTGTATTTTGGAGAGGTTCCCATAAAGCTTACCGCCAATAACATAACCTTAATGTTCAATGACTTCTTTCTTGAAAATCACTGAATGTTAAAGTCTGATATTAATGTGCAAGGTAGTGGCATGTCAATATGTTAGGGTATTGCTTTCACTTGTTTTTGTGGTGAATTACTTGTACTTAAGATTCCATGACAGTGGTTGTTGGACATTGTTATTTTTCTACAACACAACCCTTCTAGGTATCAACGCTTGTCATTCTACTGCACTCATTAGTACCAGAAATTTTTATTGTCTTATGCATTTAAAACAATTTATAATCAAAAGTACAAAATTTCATAGTTACAAAAAAAAATTGGCATAAATTCAACACAGCTCGACAAACATTTAGAATCGAGACTTGGTACATTGGCAGTAAAATTTGTTGTGTTGATAAATTTTAGTAATATATTTCAAACGTTATATTTGTTTAATTTTGTGAAGAAATTGATGGTACACCTTAAAATTTGTCCAAAATATTATTTTAATTTAAAGTCTTGATTCTGGAACACATCCTATTTTTCCCCATAGCATTCTCAGTTAAATACTGTACTACGTTGCTTAGTTTTGCTCGGTGTCTGGTATGCATGAGCACATAGACCCGAGTACTCTGCAGTGCCTCAGTCACACTTGGCAAGCTGTATAAATTGTTCCTGGGTACTTGAGGAGCATATCTTCATAATTCTATTGTCAATCACTGTTATTTAACATTCACGATTTGTTTCTCTTTCACAGAAAATTGACCCATCGGTTATGGAAGAGTTTTTTGGTTTGACGTCAGAAATTCAGAAGTCGTCGGAAACTGGGTACATTCTCTTCTATCAAGCTCGAGATCCAACGTAACTTCAAAGTAGTCACCAAAGAAAGTAGAATCCGTCTGTTATGTCCAACTGGTTCTGTGGAGGCTGAAAAGGCAGCGTTAGTCATGGCATAGAGAAATCAAGATATATAGAAAGGTTGAGAAAGGATTGGGCAGTGTATCTAACCAGGGTTCAGAGTAGGTGTAATCAATGTATTCATCTAGTTCAGGTTTGTCAGATATTGAATGCACCAGTCTACACTTATATCTGATCTGAATAGCTATTTCACAAATGTTAATTATAACAATGTATTGATTATAGTGCACTTGTAAATAAGAGTTTTATCTGAGATTTTTCACAGTCTATTGTAGGTATAAGGGCTGGAGAAGTTTTGCATTATAATTGATGAAAATAACTCTTACTTCTATTTTAATTACAATTCCTTCTCTTAATTTTGCTTTAAACAAAATTAACCTTTACTAATTGTGTGATTATTCATCTTCCCAGTATCCTACAAATATTCTTAGAGTATTTATAAACCAATTTACAATTTGATTGGAATTTTTATTAAGTTGCATTACAAACTAATTGCATACATTAATCCATTGGGTAATACAAAATGACAGAAGTCGTTGTTTTGTATGAATAGATTTTTGTATTTCGTTTCATTTATATTACAGTAACATCAAATTTAATGCAAATAACATATTGTGTTGAAGTTGAACCATGTTAAAGACTTGCTAAGACCTTTGACAATAAGGAGGCTGCAACTTGTACAAACCTCAGATGCACTCATGATCCATCCAGTACTCCAGTGTAGTTCTCTATTGTGCACAATCTGCTCAGCCACAATCTTAACTTTGTACCACATTAGATTTTGATAAAGTGCTTATTTCATGGTTTGAAATATGAACTAGAGTAATTTTCTCATTCAGATTTTGTATCGTCGTGAGCAAAGTTTCGGTGAGCTAGGTCCTCGATAGTGGAGGTAGCATGTTGGTGCACTACTGCAGACATAATCAATTGAACAGAAATACACGTCACATAGGTGCACGTGCACCCACACCTACATAAACATAGTTTGAAGTGCTCAGTATAATAATATTGAAGCAGCTCCCTGTGAATTTTCTAATAGTGAGAAATTACTTTTACCTCTCGAGAGCTTGAAAGGACAATCATGACTCTTGCCAGTCTAACTTCTGTGATATCATAATTATTATTTTACAGGCTGGAATAGGGTCATGGTCCATTCCTCAGAGGATCGTTTGAACCTTTTTGGAGGCAGTTGTACTGTTTTCTAATTATATATTTCCCACTGTTAATGCAACACAGATTATTGTATAATTCTGTTGAAGAGTAAGAAACAAGTTGAACAAATATGGAGTTTGTTTTTCCTAAATAATATGAACATACTTCTATGAAAGTATATTGATTACTTCAACATAAGTACATTTTGTAGCTGTAACCAGTTATTTGAGTACAGTACATAGTGTCGAACATTCAAGGCCACATTTTGTGAAAATTATAAATCATGGCAAGTTATGTTGATGTAACATTGAATCTCTGTTGACTTTGTTAAGTAATTATCAAAAGGTCCCAAGCTGGGAAGACTATGGTAATGTAATAAAAAAAGTAATGTTCAGAAATGCTGAAAAGCAATTATCAAAGGATGCCAGATAGTTCAAAGGAACTATCAGATAGAACTGTAGCACCATCAGTTTCACTGGATATTCAAATGGCACAATACTGTATATCGCTTAGGATGCCAATATGAGAAAGTAACACAAAACAAGCGATATCAAAGGTATTAAATACACCAAGGATTCTATAGAGGGACATTTGAGAAGCAAAACATACAATCAACCTAAAAACTGGGACATTCTACAAATTAAGTAAATAATTATCAAAAGAAGGCACCAAGTTGGGAAGACGTAGCAATATCAGTCTCTGGATATTCAAGAGGCACTAAAATCATTTAGGATGCCAGTACAAGAATAAAAAAGACATGGCAAGCAGCATCAAAATTATTGGATCTACAAAGGATTCTACTGAACATAAGAAAAGCAAGACTGATGATCGTCCTAAGACAAAACATTGGACAAGAAGGTGCATGACTGGAAAGGGCCTGGGCTCGTAGCAGGAGCTGCCGAACCTGATGTTCCATCACCGAGTCTGGCCCCATGATCCCGTGTTTGAGAAGTTTAGTTATCATGTATCATTGTTTGAAAAGCTTTGGCCCCTAAGCCAGGAGTTACCATCTACCGAGGCAACAAGGGAGACTGAGCACTGACCAGTGTAGGAAGGGTTTCATCATCCTAACCAAGCCCCTCTTTTTTTTTCTTTTTTTCTTTTTTTACCGGAAAGCCCTACTGCACCATATATTCTCTCATTCTGGAGCAAAGATCTCTTTCTTCCACTATCCCCAGCTTGGACACAAATGCCCGTTCATTTGTGATACGCAAATGACGGGTGGAGTAGAAAGGTCAGCCAGTGACACCAGAGGAACACCTTTGGTTTCAACCATAGGGAAGTAGGAAACATAGGGGGGGTTTGTGGAGGTGTCTGGGTTGATGGCTTGGAAACAGTTATGGACCCAAGGAAGGTTGGGTTGGGGGGGACAGGAAAGGGGAGCATGGTGTAATGCATGACCATAATTTATGCCAGAAAAGGAAGCAAGAAAGCGAACCTGGTGTCTAGCCTCTGGGAAATATATGCGATCTCTTTTAGATGGAGAATGGCTAGTTCAAATTTATAATGCAGACAAGACAGTTAAAAATTGGGTGGGAATCACAGCTGTTGATGCAGTGAGCATAGCAAGAACAATATTCTGACCTAGAATGGTCCAAGGCACCAATCAAGGGGCAAAAAAAACACCTCACTACTACACTGGGGCTCCATGCCTAAATTTCCCAGTACTGTACCTATTTCAGAGACATGAAGAGGGGGACTTACACTTGAATTGAGCATCTGGTACCCGTAAGAATTACTGAAGATGGAGGGGGTTCAACTATGAAAAGTTGCCTTAACCACCCGGAGGAGATGACAATGAAGAATGCGAGGGGGTTGAGTGAATAGGATAACCTAGGACTTCGAGAATTAATTTAATTTCCTTATGGCAGTTCTTTAGTTCCCTGTCCCCCATCTCAACATGGGATGGGAGAATGACTGACAATACTGGCATTCTTGTAGGCCCCGAAATGAAGCTGCCTCCTTAGAAGGGGCCTCAATGACAAGGGTGCCAATCCAGGTGGAATTAAATAAGACGTGCATCCACAGAGTCTACAACGTGTCATCAGGGAGTGTATGTTCATTGTGGCAGACATCAAAATATTTAGGCCACGTGGCAAGGCCAAACAAATCGTGGCATGAAACAGTGGCTGCAGGAAATGTGCGCACTCGATTGAAAGAACGTTGCTGTGGATCTTCTGGAAGGAGAGCTAAAAGCACTGTAGTAACCATAAAATATCGAGTTACCTATGGTGGCAAGGTAGTCGCCATTTTGACTCTTAAGGTTGATCATATCAAGAAAGAAGCTGGGGAAGGGAGAGGATGAGTATGGGTAGTCAAAGACAAAGCCTGGTCTGGGCCCACCTTGGCAGGCGCTATGAAGCCCCATCTTTCATCAGTCTAATTTGAGGGCCTGGTCACCCACCCCAAGAATCTGAGGAGAGATGTACTCGAGAGGAGACAACATACAAGAAAGCTGAATTGGACTAAGTTGCCCAGCACCCCTACCCACAAGAGACCAACTATGGTCGGCCCAAGCATATGGGCAACCTCAAGGGTGATGGACAGTACATACAGTCACCATTCAAGGATCTGAATAGTATCCCAGAGACCAATAGACACAATTAGGGTAGATTGATTTAGGTGGACCACTGAACCTACATTCAACTTTTTTTAACCACATGTAATTAAATTCTTATTTACACAGTTCATATTTACTTTATAATGGTACTTGTAGTATCTTTGTAGAAATATAAAATACATTCTAACTTACCTTCATGGAGATCACAGCACTTTTGATCATCTTTAAATTAGAAGTACAGTATATTGTATTACACTTTACATCATACAGTTCTATACACACTTAACTGAAGGAGTAATACTGTACTGTACATTCAACCTGTCCTCTTACAAATTACATCTGAATTTGGCCATTTGCCCGTATAGTCGAAAATGGACATAATTTGAAAATTAAAAATGCAAAGTAAATTTTGGAATTTTTTTTCCAAAACAGTCACAGTTAAGGGTCCTCTGGTAGGTCACAGGGCAAGAAATTCTCCTAAAGTTTCAAAACGTCACGAAAAATGTTAATTGAAAGTTTTCTCTACTAACCTTACCGAGTAAGCCAGAAAACTCAAACAGAAAACGGAACAGTACGTACATCACTCTCATGAGCCGATTTCATTTCAAATTACATCCATTTTTGGCCATAGCGCGCATACTAGCAAAAAGTGACATTTTTAAGAAGATGGGTTGGCACATTAGCCTAACCACCAATCATATAGAACACCAAACAACCAAACACCAATCATATAGAAGAGATAACAGGAAGCAAGGATTTTTGGCTGTGAATGTAGTTTATAAGCCTACTGTACATCTAGCAACAGACACTCAAGATAGATCCCACACAAAAACACTAATGTGACATCAAAACGATTCTTATACAAGAAACTTAAAAGAGGCATACCACAGTGCCCAACTAGCATCACAGGACTGCAAGTTACTTTTGTCGAGGCCCAGGTGTTACAGTTGATGTCTCATCTTGAGACAGAGGATGTCAATCTCGTATTTAACCCCTAAGTGGCGCAGCCATCCAAAAGTAAGTAATTATCAAAAGAAGGCACCAAACTGGAAAGGCTATGTAGCACCATTAAATGTGCGGAATAATCAGAGGGCGCTAAATATCACCAAGGATGCCAATAGGAGAACAGACAAGCATAAGGCAAACGATGTCAAAAGTATCCGATTCATCACAAATTCTATCGAGGGACAAGCGACCCCGAGGGACGATCGGAAAACACAACACACGCTCGTTTGGAAGTCAAGACATTTAACAAGGATATGCACGACCATAAGAGGGACAATGCAATTTGGACAATAAGGAGCAGGGTCGGCACTCTATGATTTAAGCGTGTATGGCCAATACGCAACCTCGCCAAGAGCCGTTTCCCTTCGCCAGTTACGGTGGTAGGATGGCCATGAGGACACACTGTACTCTTAAGAGTTTGCAGTTTGTTACCAGTAACAAAGACCAACAATCCTGCCAACGGGTAAGGATGGAGGAATGAATAACTGGGTAAAAGTCGGAATAAGGAATACAGTACCTTTATGGGAGATGGGACAAGGGCGGACAGCTTCCCTAGCAGCAGCATCTGCACACTCATTCAAAGACATCAATATGGCTGGGAATCCAGCAAAACTCAACTGACTCAAATATACTGGAAATAAGAAACAGCCAATGCCGAATCTCGACAACTACTGCATGGACAGCATGGACAGAATTAAAGGACCCTAGAGCCATGAGGGCACTACGAGAATCAACTACAACCACAAAGGAGGAATAATAATGAGAAAGCAAGAGACGAAGAGCATAGAGAATAGCATAAAGTTCTGCTGTAAAGATGCTAGCCTCCGAAGGGAGGCGACACATATAAGTGCGGTCAGGAAAAACAACAGAGTAGCTCACACCCTCCGCAGACTTAGACCCATCGGTGAAGATGGGAACGGAGTGGGAGTGCGAAGAAAGTGCTCAAGGAAGAGGTTTTTCAGAATCGTAGGAGGTAAAGGCTCTAGTAATACAAGTCAAGGACGTACAAAACTTGGGAAGGGGGACTCTCCATGGAGGCAAGGAAGGAACAATATGAGGAGAAACATTAGAAATATGAACAGAAAGAGAATCCTGTAAGCGAGATAACCGGACAGAAAGAGGGAGATGAAGAGGAACAGGAGCTACAGGAGGAGTAAAAGTTAAAGCACGACAGAGGCGAGAGGAAGGATGTTGTAAGGACCGCACAAGATAGCGAAGACAGTAGCGATCACGGCGGTCCTGAAGAGAGAGAGAGCCAGTGTCAACATACAAACTGAGGGCAGGAGTCGAACGAAAGGCACCAGAGCCGAGACGCAACCCAGTACGGTGTAAAGCATCAAGACGGCGAAGAGTAGGAGGAGAAGCAGAAGAGTATGCAGGGCAACCATAATCGAGTTTAGACAGGATGAGAGGAGTGCAAATAGAGGAGCGTGCGCCTATCCGCTCCCAAAGAAGTATGGAACAAAACCTTAAGTAGGTTAAGGGCCTTAGAGCATTCATCTCGGAGGTAAGAGATATGGGCTGACCAAGACAAACGAGTGTCAAAGACTAACCCCAAAAGCTTAGCGGAATCCCTGTACACAAGGGGATGACCATAAAGTGACAAAGAGGGATGAAGAACTACATGCTTCCGAGTAAAAGTTATGGAGGAGGAAGGAGAGGAGCCAGGCTTTCGCTTCTGACTCAGAGACAGGCATCCCAGTAACAATGTACTGGGAAACAGATTCAAGCGTCTCAACAGAAGCAGAACGAGAGCAAACAACACGATGGCCGTTGGGAGTGATGGACATCAGCCCGCACTGACAGGCGGCGTGGAGAGCTAAGAGACAGAGGAGAAGAATGGGAAGGAGGATCGGAGGGAGACGAGGAAGAAGACACAGGAGACAAGAAAGAAGGGGAACCCCAGACAGAGAACCATGAATGGGGACCCTTCGGGACAGAACATAAAGGAACAGAGGATGCGGCGGTGGGAGTGTCTGGGTCTAAGGCCTGGAAACAGTTGCGAGACTGAGGAAGATGGGAAGGACAAGGAGAGGAAGAGCGCAACACACGAGCATAGGACACACCCGCGAAAGGGGGGAGACGGCGAACTTGGCGCCTCACCTCGGGAAAAGACGAATGTTCCCGGTGCTTCAAGGCGAGGACGGCTGCCTCAAGTTTGTAATGTACACACACGCGGAAGAAGATAGGGTGGGCCTCACCGCAATTGAGGCAATGAGCCCGGGAAGAAGTGCATTCCAACTTAGAGTGACCTTCGTCCCCATACAAGGGACAGAGAGATGGTACTGGAGCACCGGAGGGCACCATGCCCAAACCTTCAGCACTTATTACAGAGCCGAGGAGAGGGAATGTACTCCTGGACAGAGCACCTGGCACCAGCAAGAATGACAAGAGGGCAGAAGGGTCCTACCATCAAAGGTAAACTTCACAACCCGAAGAGGCTGACGGCGACAAGTAAACCTGTCTACCTGGAGGACAGAATGGCCCTGGGCTTCAAGGATATGCCAAATATCTTCGTGGCAGTCCTGTAGATTCCTAATACCGGTTGCAACATGGAGTGGGAGGAGAATAGTGCCAACACTGGCATTCAACTGAGCTTTCTTGGAGACCCGAACAGGGGTCTCGCCAAGGTAGGATGAGGCAGCAGGATAATTGCCATAAAGTGGGTAAAAGACCATGATAGTACTGTACTCCTAAAAATGAAGCTCCATGACAAAATTCCGAAAACGCATTGCACCAATACACAAGACTAGAAATATTCATGGACATATTTCCTTTCCTCCCCCTCCCTCTCTCATTTTTCTGCTGCAGCATTTGATAGTCAACAAATTCAATAATACCAAAAGAATCACAAAAAAAAAGAACCAAAGCTCAGCTAGCTATATAACACTGCTACATAACATTCAAGAGGTGAATATACCAAGTTATTCAAGAGTTCCTGGATGCCATTCAGGATGACACAAGAGTAGCGAAACACAGAACTAGCGATGTCAAAGGAGTCATTCACCAAGGAACTGTATGAAAGCAAAATTTCTAATCCTAATAATCTAATTTACAAGGTGTGACGCGTGGCAGAACATAGTCGTGACAGTAAGGTGCCGGTCACAAGTCAATCTTGTGTGGCCAACACAAAACCACACCAGAGAAGCTTCCCACTTTCAAATTAAGTTTTACACGTTTCAAGAACTATTACCCGACATACACAAGATAATTCAATATCAATTTTATTTAAAAGTTTCTCAGAGTCAAAAGGAAAAAGTACCTGTATTACCTCAACTTTTTGAAGGGGAAAATAAAAGTATAGCATTTGAAAAATCACTTTAATAACATTCATAAGCAAAATACACAAGTACTGTATCACCACAAAGAAGAAATTCAACTGTATACATATTGCAAATATTTGCTATATCAAATACTGAATACCCAATAGTTTTTAATCAATCACTTCTCAATAAGTGTACAAGGAACACCATGTAATCTTGCCTAACAAATATTTCCCCCTCACCAATTTCTATAGGCTTTTTCCATTGAATGTTCAATAAAAGAAAATCCAGTTTACAGACAAGAGTAATCATCATCAGATTCCATTGAAGACATAACTATTGAACTAAACACACTGATTATTCTTCTCAAAAGAAATCTTATAAACAACTCTGAATTACATGCAGTACAAAAAAAGTATATTCACTTGTAATAGCACAATGTCCTTTTCTCACATGCACGTGTGACAACACCAGAATGTCATCAACAACACACAACCTCAACAACTTGACAAATTATGAAACTGGAATTTACTGCAGCAATTACAGTATAGTACATTATATCAATGGTACTGTGCACAACACACTGTACCTAACACCCACTCTTCCATGGCAACCTTTGACAATACTGTACTAACTCATTACCTATTAATGGCAACCAACAGATTTTAAATATACATTTCTTTGTTGGAAGAACATAGAGCATCTATTAAAATGTCCACTTTCATTAGGTGTCAAAATGTTTATATAAGACAGTGTTAAGTCTTATAAACAATGTAGTACAGTTCTAGTATTACAGAACATTTAAAAGTCCTAGTTATTCAGAATGCCAATACACGAGCGGGGAGACTCGAGACGAGTGATGTCAAACAAGTCTGATCTACAGTTACAACTTTAAAGTCAATCTCCAAAACATACATATTCTTTTTCCCCCTGTAAAAGCATAATTGATATCTAATTTCCCTTGAAGCTAGAATTACTCTATGTATGTGGCTTTCCACTATAATCCTGTATCAAGAATGTCTCGGTATTATCAGAAAATACTGTACTAGGCCAGAATGGCGAGCACCTGCACCAAGGAAAGCTTTATCATTGTCAATGAAAAATTAACAGCAAGTCAACAGTGTTACCAGTTCCACAGCAGCACAGTATTCAGATATTTAAGAACACTAGTGACAGACTACATAAATGTCCCCTCAGACTGCTTGGCCAAACCTCAAATATGATGAATAACAATTTACTTGAATAACTTACTGGAGCTTAATGAGATGAAAAAGAAATTACATTGGTTAATTACATTAGTGTATCCCTCAAGTTCTAATTATGATGACAAACAGCGACTGTACCAGAAAAATATAAATCTAATCACACACTTCCTTTCATACCCAAGTTACTACATAGGCATCAATTTTCTTAAATTCATCCATTTTGGAAACAAATGAAGGAATGGAAAAAAAGATCTGAAAAACTTTTCTATTGGTTGAGATTAAAATGTCCAAAACAAAAAAGTTTGTATCCTAGTGTCAAGTGATCCAAGAAGATCAAAAATTAATCATACGATTAATTGTGACTCACAGAGCCCATGAAACTAAACATGTGTTTACATTCCTGTGAATTTAATAGGTTCTACCCAATGTGTACTCTGAGGGGAAGGACAGCTTGTAGCTCCCGGTGCCACTCCATGTAGGGAGGGTTCCAGCAATGGGGATGATGTTCCATGAGAGCGTCAAACTCACATTCTTGTGACCCCTGCCAACACAAATTAAAATATATTAACCCTTACACTGCTACAGTCCAGGCTGTAAATGGGGAGTATAAGCTGGGGCTGGGCAAAAAAATATTTGAATCAAGTGAAAATTAATATTAAATGTTAAACAAATCTCCAACTTATTGACGTCAGCGTCGTGAAAATTTCATCCCAACATTTTCAGAAATGTATTTTAGACAATTTTTTTTTTTAAAGAACGTTTTGTGAATAAGAACAACTATTAACTGGAACTGAGGGAAAATGCAGTAATAGAGATGCAAGCACCTGTCCGATGAACAAAGAAGAATAGTAGTTATAAGTGCCCACAAAGTAGATATCCAGCTGGTGCCTTTAAAGCATTGCTGAGTAATACATAATAACACCAATAATAATGTTATTATGCTCAATTTTCTTATATATCATACAGACACATTGTCCAATTGTAATCTGTAAGTGCCCACAAAGTAGATATCCAGCTGTTGCCTTTAAAGCGTTGCTGAGTAATACATAATAACACCAATAATAATGTTATTATGCTCAATTTTCTTATATATCATACAGACACATTGTCCAATTGTAATCTGTTACTTTCACCAATGTCCACAATTTTTTTTTTATTTTTTTTTTTCTGTTTATTATCTGATTTTGTTGTAACCTACATCCTGGAGAGAGCATACCCATCCCTAACTATGTGAAGATAGAATTAAATTGGTCAACAAATAAATCAGTTATAACTGGTAGAACTTGGGACTTTAAATTTTTTTTGGCTGATTTTTTCACAAATTTCAAACTATTTTCTTCATATCTCTAGGTTGTTTTGATGATTAGGGACCAGAGTAGAGCTTTTTCACTTATATAAAGTATACATCTTTATCCCCTAAATAATTATAATTACCCCTATATTTTTTTAGGGGGGAGGGGGATTTTTTTTCTTTACTTCATTTCAACACATTGACCTATAACTTTCACATTCGAGTACGAATGCTAAACAATGTTCATTAAAACATACAAGTAAATTAATGAATTAGAACTACCTTATACATTGCCAATAACTTCAACTTCAATTCTCTCTAAAACTAGAGTTTCAATTTTGAGTCAACTTCAAAAACTCGAGTTTCAGACTGATTCTCGTCATTTTTGCACAGTGTACGCAGCTGTCTGTTCTACAATCCTATTAGAATGGATTTTTTATAAACCCTAAACGTTTGGAGTTGTAAATTTTGTTGTCTGAATTTGGTGCATATTTCAAATGCCATATTGACAATTTTTTTTTACAGTAAACTAAACTGAAAATCTATATTCTAAATCTATTAAAATGAAGATTATACTATTCTGAGAGCATAACAACACTTAATGAACAATTGGCGATACCCGTACAGTATTTAATATTTTTGCAGCCAATCTGAAAATCGGAAATTTATATTATAAATTAAATATTAAATATTACATTTCATAATTATTTTTAATTTTCTTGTGTTTCAAGTTACATTGGTGATCACTTAGACAACGTTGGAGCATTTGCCTAGTAGATTATGCACAGAAATTGGAAAGCGTTAGAGCAAGTACAGTATGAGAAATATAACTTATGATGACATCGGATCCTGTTGTATATAGACACCATGCGCAGCTTAAAGGGTTAATGGAACTGCAAGGAATGTTCATTTCTACAAATTTTGCTTATGCTCAAAGTTGTTGATTAGTTGTTGAACCCCAAAAAATTTGCATACACACATGAAATAGCCCGACATTTCTACACACTCTTCTTTCGAGCTGTACCAACGCAGTAGCTCTTAGTAATACTTTACTTTTTGTGCTTCCTCAGTAAAAGAATTTAGTAGTTATAAATCGGATAAAGTATTTACAAAGAGGAGGAAACTACCAGGGGAAAGTGCCAAGCCATTACAACTATGTTATAGCACTTGGAAGGGGTCAGGATAAGGATTTAGGATGGGACGGGGGAAAGGAATGATGCCCAACCACTTGGACGGTCAGGGATTGAATACCGACCTGCATGAAGCGAGACCGTTGCTCTACCGGGCAGCCCAAGTGGTTGGGTAAGAGTGCTCAGCTAGAATAACTATACTGTATAGCACATGGAAGAAATACAAGGACAAGGAACTGGAGTACAAATACAGAATGAAGGAACAATACTTTTTCACTTTTACCATCAAGCATCAAATACCAACCTTGCAAGAAGCGAAGTCTATGTTCTATCAACCAGTCTAAGTAGGTAGAAATGTGGTGGACAAAGTAACCTTTTATGAACAAAACTCTAAACAAGTCAAGATTTGTGTACAGTACTCACAGTAGACCATTGCCATCATCCCAAAAGTAGTACTTGAGGTGCTGATTCTTCAAGTTGACCAGTGAAGTATCTCCCCGCCTGATGATCTTATCCCAGAGCACTACCTGAAAGTTCAACACCATTACCTTAGCAAAATACAGTAAATGTACACCACTTTAGTATTTCTAAAATTGATGAATGCTACATAATCAATAATTTTCAACTTTCTGTAATTACCATTCAACTGCAAAACTTTCACGAACCATTCTACCTTTGAGGACAATTATTTTTACACCAACCTGGTTAACTTTGTTGTTAGGAGTCTGGTACTCAGCAGTGAGGTAGAGGAACAGCTGCTTGGTGTTCCAGTTGAAGAGAGGAGTCAAGTCTGATGACAAGTCAAAGCGAAGGGCTCCCAAATCATTTTTTTCCCTTGACACTGCATACTCTGGCACATTTTTCCTAGTGAAACATGTGAAAATTTAAAAAATAATTTTTTTTTATTTATTTATTGATATAAAATACAAGTTCATACATTCTTGTACAGCCACTAGCACGAGTAGCATTTCGGGCAAGTCCTTAAGCCTATGTTCCCCGGAATACTACCCCACCAAATCGTTTAACAACCAGGCATTCTGTTGGGTAAACAGAAGCTGCAGTTAAGGGACCCAGTGCATGTGGAGACTTTTCCAAATATGAAAAAAATAGTGAAAAATGTTAAACAAATCTCCCATTATGTGGCATCAGTATCATGAAAATTTTATCCCAATATATTAAGAAATGGAATTTTTCAGAATTTAAAAAAAATAAGTGCGTGTGCGATGGGCAGCAACCGGTACTGATAATAATGATAACACCTCCTATTTACTGGAAATCAGGGATAAAGAGATGCAAGCACCTGTCTGATGCACAAAGAAGACAAGTAATAGTGAGAGAATGTGCACCCGAGCTCAGCATTCCACTTCAACTGATTTTTCAGGTAAACTTGTGTACAGGAGTTGTAGCTGATGTGTGGAAAAAGGCTAACATAGTTCTAACCTACAAAAGTGGCAGCAGGGAAGACCCCCTCAATTATAGACCTGTATCAGTGCCAAGTGTAATAGTCAAAATATGGGAAAAAATAATTAAAACTAAATGGGTAGAACATCTGGAGAAAAATGATATAATACCAGACAGACAGATGGTTTTCGATCTGGGAGATCCTGTGTAATGAATTTACTCAGTTTCTATGATCGAGCCACAGAGATTTTACAGGAAAGAGATGGTTGGGTTGACTGCATCTATCTGGACCTAAAAAAGGCTTTTGACAGAGTTCCACATAAGAGGTTGTTTTGGAAACTGGAAAATATTGGAGGGGTGACAGGTAAGCATCTAACATAGATGAAAAATTTCCTAACTGACAGAAAAATGAGGGCAGTAATCAGAGGCAATGTATCGGACTGGAGAAATGTCACAAGTGGAGTGCCACAGGGTTCAGTTCTTGCACCAGTGATGTTTATTGTCTACATAAACGATCTACCAGTTGAAATACAGAATTATATGAACATGTTTGCTGATGACACTAAGATAATAGGAAGGATAAGAAACTTAGATTGTCATGCCCTTCAAGAAGACCTGGACAAAATAAGTATATGGAGCATCACTTGGCAAATGACTTTAATGTGAATAAATGCCATGTTATGGAATGTATAATAGGAGAACATAGACCCCACTCAACCTATAAATTATGCAAGAAATCTTTAAAGAATTCTGACAAAGAAAGGGATCTAGGGGTTATCTTGATGTTATCTTGAGATGATTTCGGGGCTTAGCATTCCCGCGGCCCGGTCCTCAACCAGGCCTCCTTTTTGTTACAAACACCCCCCCCCCCCCAGAAAGCAGCCCGCAGCAGCTGTAACTCCCAGGTACTTATTTACTGCTAGGTAACAGGGGCATCAGGATGAAAGAAACATTTTGCCCAATGTCTCCCCGCCTCCACCGGGAATCGAACCCGGAGCCTCAGGACTACGAATCCAGAGCGCTGCTCACCCAGATGTCACGTGCCAGTTTTGGCACTAGTGTGGTTCTAGATAGAAAACTGTCGCCTGAGGACCACGTAAAGAACATTGTGCGAGAAGCCTATGCTACACTTTCTAACTTCAGAATTTCTTTTAAATTCAGCTAGAATATGCAGTGGTTGTGTGGTGCCCATATCTTAAGAAGCACATAAACTGGAAAAGGTGCAAAGACATGCTACTAAGTGGCTCCCAGAACTGAAGGGCAAGAGCTACGAGGAGAGGTTAGAGGCATTAAATATGCCAAAACTAGAAGACAGAAGAAAAAGAGGCGAGATGACCACTACATACAAAATAGTAACAGGAATTGATAAAATCAATTGGGAAGATTTCCCGAGACCTGGAACTTCAAGAACAAGAGGTCATAGATTTAAACCAACGAAACAAAGCTGCCGGAGAAATATAAGAAAATTCACTTTCGCAAACAGAGTGGTAGACGGTTGGAACAAGTTAGGTGAGAAGGTGGTGGAGGCCAAGACCGTCAGTAGTTTCAAAGCCTTATATGACAAAGAGTGCTGGGAAGACGGGACACCACGAGCGTAGCTCTCATCCTGTAACTACACTTAGGTAATTACAGTGAACACCAGGGGCACCCAGACCTCAGTGTACCAACACAACTGGGGGGCACCTACCCCCCCGCCACAATATTGACCCACGTCATAGTGACCTCAACCACCATTACCCAACAATATTTTTACAGAGATGAACATTTGTGAACACTGATTCACGTGGCAGTCACGTCACTTGTGAACACTGAGGCCAATGACCGCCTTCATCCCCCCAGCCCCCCCCGCCCAGGTGTACACAGGTGGTCTACAGATGGTGTACACAGATGGTGTACACAGATGGTGTACACAGATGGGATGCAGTGGTCCAGTCTGACACCACTCACCACACACCACAAGGAGCAGTGTGGTCACAATGCGACCCAAACGTCTTAAGGTCAGAGCGACTCCACTTGACGGTCATGCTATCGGGAGAAGCAATACTTTAAAGATCCTGAAGGACGTTACTGGCCTCGAACCCGCTGACATTAGTCAGAAAGGTGAAGATATCGTGCTCTTCTTTTCATGTGAAGAGGAGCTAGAAAAACTCCTGACTAACGATGCCATTCTTCACAAAGAGCACCACCTACATCCTCACTTCCCACGTCAGTTCCTGGCCGGAAGAACTGTTTTTACCAGCAGAACCAGCCAGTGGATCGCTGAGCGACCTCAACATCATATCATGGACAATATCGAGGACGAAACTCCAAACCTGTCGGTATTCAACCTAGAGTTCTGCAACACCGACAAAACATCAATGAAGATTACGTTCACCACCATAGCTGCGGCCACCCAGGCTGCCACACAAGGATTCTACTGCTTCGGCCTAAAAATACCACCCCACCAAATAAAAAAGGAACGATACCATGAGATCCAGCAGTGCTTTAAGTGCTACGAGCTCTCCCACCCAACCAACAAGTGTCAGCACCCTGTCCAGAGGTGCAGCCTATGCGCACTGGACCATCACTACTCCATATGCAAGGCAACAGTCCATCGCTGCTTGCTCTGTGATGGCAATCACCCTGCAATTTCCTACCGCTGCCCCCGCAGACAGGAAAGCATCAAGGCCCAGGTTGAAGCAAGAGAAACAACCCTTCTACCTCCTCGACCAGAGCCCCAAGCGTTCAACCCACCACCTTAGCTCTCACTAATCGACCAGAAGACTTTCCAGTCTTACCAACATGTGGCTCCTCCCAGCAGGCGACACAGCCTTCTCATTGGGGGCCCCAAGGTCCCACAGGCTCCTTCACAGCCCTCTGCATCACGTGCTGGCATTATCCCTAGTTTTATTAGACTTGCGGAAAGGCTAGCAGGACCAGACAACCAGTGCTTTGTTAGTGAACTAAACGCATTATACATAGACAATGGCCTGGCCCCCATCATAGCCACTAGCGTAAATCTCACTGCCTCCTCTACCACTCCGGAGACTACCACCAGGACGACCAGGTGGTCAACTTCAACACCGACTCCAGAACCGCCCATGACCCGGGCGACACAAACAGAGGTAATTCCTTCTCCAGCTCCCAACACTCCTACCATCACTATCTCAGCAGCCGCGCTAGCAGACGTGCTGTCTACAAACGATAACAGCACCACCAGCGCTCCTGAAATAGCTACAACCACCAATCAACGACACCTAAGCCTACCTAAGGCTGCGAGGCGAAAGACAAAAACGCCCACTACGGAGGTTACGGACTCCTCAGACGAGGAAATCATAGTAGGAGCTCCACCGTCGCATCACAAGTACGACACCTACACGGTTCAAGACTTCCTCATGGAGGCCACGTCACCAAACTCCAACGACAGCACTGCTCAGCCAAAGTCGCAGGCAAAGAAAAAACGGAAAACCTAGAGGTCTACACTAACCCCACCAGCTCCATAACTGGTATAGACAGCCCTCCAGGCTGAAAACCATCATGAAGACCCCCATCCATCACCAGATCTCTAGTATCAGTCACTGATACAGATAATGGCTCCAAAGAGCCTCCACTTACGGGCTCACCATAGCCCGTAAGTGGTAGTGGATATGGGTATGGGGTAGTGGACCCCATACCCATCCTGTGGGTGGTAGTGAACCCCATACCCATCCCGTGGGTGGTAGTGGACCCCATACCCATCCTGTGGGTGGTAGTGAACCCCATACCCATCCTGTGGTGGGTGGTAGTGAACCCCATACCCATCCAGTGGTGGGTGGTAGTGAACCCCATACCCATCCTGTGGTGGGTGGTAGTGAACCCCATACCCATCCAGTGGTGGGTGGTAGTGGACCCCATACCCATCCAGTGGTGGGTGGTAGTGAACCCCATACCCATCATGTGGTGGGTGGTAGTGAACCCCATACCCATCCAGTGGTGGGTGGTAATGGACCCCCCCCCCACATACCCATTCTGTGGGCGGTAGTGCAAAAAGTTACATAGGTACATAATGGGCTAAGGGACTGAACCCCCAGAATTCATTAACTATGCATGCCTTGATAACCTAGTTACAGGGGGTTTAATGGGTTCAAGAACGACTACTTGTACAATCTCTCTAGGCTTATTTATTTATTTATTTATTTATTTATTTATATATATACAAGAAGGTACATTGGGTTTGTGAGAATACATTGAATAGTACAGTATTTACAATCTTGTAAAGCCGCTAGTACGCGCAGCATTTCGGGCAGGTCCTTAATCTAACAGATAATTTTAAGTAGGTAAATTCTATCAGAATTAATAAAATGATAACAAATACATTGCAAGAAAAAAAATACATGTGATGTGTAAAAAACACTGCATGTGTAAGTAACTTACACATGCAGTGAGCTGGTGTCATAGTTAATTTGCCAATCGTGCAGACTGTGCAGTGAGCAGCGACGGAGAGGTGAAAGTCACCCATATTTAA